TAGTGGAGGCTGGCTAGAGAACGGTGGGTCTGATATATCTCCAGTAGAGAACAAGAGTAGGAGAGAAGAAGAAGAGAGAGAGGGATCCAAGACGAGAAATACGAGTATTGAATCTGGAACTAACACTTTATACTAATCTCAACATTAATCCTCTGTTGTGATATAAAGAGACACTTCTTGTCATCTAACAACATGTAGACTTGAAAAAAAACTTTTAGGTAAACTAAATTATAATTGTAAATAAATAATTAACATTTTTTAATGAATTTCGTCTATTTACAATTTCGAGGATCTAAATCTAATTCTTATTTGATATGAATAGAGATTAAATTTTTCTACGCAATAATATATTTTTTTACATTTTATTATGACGTAGTAGGACAGCTCTGAAACTAGTTTTATTGTAAACAATAACAACGAATGTAAACAAGGATCGGAATACCTGAGCATTGTACGTTTTCTACCGACCCAGTGATAAGCCAATCACTGTTTACTATAAAAGTACTTTGTCTAAACTGGCAATAGTTCACATAGGATTTAAACATTCCCAAAACTTCCTATTTATTTAACTCCTGGGCAAGATAAATTCAGCACGTAAAACTAACTACAACGAAGGAAACTGTCAGAATTAAACACTTTTCGAGTCCAAATTAAACGATAATGCAGGGTTAATCACGAGGATGAGACTGTAAAGACGACCCAAAACTTTAAAGATATGTCGATTACAAGGTTACATTAGGTCTGCTGCCTTAAATATGATCTTTTAATGGCTTATTTAATTACTTGGCAAAGTAAGAAACATGTTTCCAGTTACAGAGAATCAAAAATATATTGAAACGGACTGTTCGAATTTCATGCAGTCGTCTCTGAAGTCTTATCCTTTGTGGGTAATTAACAACATTTTATGGTTTTGAATCGGCCATACCTTCCTTTTAATGCAGGGCCACTTGAAACTACGCATACAGTCCCTTTAAAGAGCCCCATTAAAAAGTCCCTTTGAAGAGTCCCTTTGAAGAGTCCCTTTATAGAGTCCCTTTAAAGAGTCCCTTTAAAGAGTCCCTTTAAAGAGTCCCTTTTAAGAGTCCCTTTGAGGAGTCCCTTTAAAGAATCCCTTTAAACATGAATATCGTTTATTCATATTTTTAGTAAACGAGAGAAGGGGGAGGAGAACTGAGAAGGCGCCATTAAACAATTAAGCAGCAAAACTTTTCGAAATCAATGTTTACTTAAACTAGGCCGATGATTTCTGGAGGAATTTCTTTCCGATAAAAAGAATTTACTTCCTTTTAGCCAACGTTATCGACCCGTGTGATTCTATTTATACAGAGGGATGTTATTATATTTAGCCAACATTATCGACCTGTGTGATTCACTTTATACAGAGGGATGTTAATATATTTAATGTCCTTTAAATAACGACCCGCTTTTCAATTTAAATAATTTTCTTAATCGTTCCTTGTGACAATAAGTAACAAAATATCCCCTGGATTTCTCTAGCAAAATGTTAAGTACTTTATCGGCTTTGCTCAAGCTCATCATTTTTATTTACTAGCTCCGGAACCCAGTGATGCACAGAGTATTCATAGTTATTCCCGCCGTTTACCCGCGCTTTGTCGTAAATAATGATTTTAGCTATTTTCCCGACATTTCCGTGTTTCTCCAGAGTTACCCAATCAAAATTTGAGGCAACAGAGATTACAACTTTATAACTATAGATCATAATAATTAAATCAAAAGCCAACTTTTTTCAGTAATATTAAATGAAAATATTACTAAATCAATAATATTGGTTTTATGTTAAAATTGAAAAAAATTATATTTCGTTAATTGTGAATCCCTCAATTAAAATAACGACAAAAACGTATTTAAAAAAAAGTTTTGAAAATAAAAACGCCAAAATAGTCATCCTTTAAAGTTTTTAGTAGTAAAGATAATTTCTCAAATGCTTCTAAAAAAGCTAGAGTTGTGAAAGTCACTTTCTAAGAGAAAATAGACAGTTTACAGAAACAAAAACATGGATATCTAATTCAAACTTGATCAGACAAAGCATTAAAGGATTTCGTTCTAAATCGATTACAGTCCCTTTAAGGAGGCAGAACTTTGAAGAAAAAGGGGAAGGTTTGAAGGGGATTAAATTTATCAACCCTGGTGCTGAAAGGGATATGAGGAGATTAGGAAGATTGAGTTTCAAATTTGGTCCTTGAGAGTGCATCAGTAGGGCTAGGCACGTTCAGACTTTTTTAACGTTTAATTAACGATAGTTTTCGTTCCATCTTAAAGTTTCCGTTAGTGAACGAACTCAATTTTATTGCGGGCGAAATAAAAGTCCACCCTGAATTCCTATGTTTGTGTTCATGGGAAACCTTATTATAGGAAAAGGAATTTAACCGTCCAAGGGAATATTAAAGTTTAACTATAACCTTACAGAGACTCTGCTTCCTTTTGACACTTTAAACCAGATTTCATGTTCTATCCAGAAATTAGAAAAAAATAATATTTAAATACTTTTCTTTGGTAGCTGCATCTTTTTTATTGCTAAAAATTAATATTTCAATAAAATTGAGGCAGGGAGTAGCAATAATTTTTTACTAACCCTATCACGGCTAGGGGGGGTGGGGTGTTTTCTCCCCCCCCTTTGTGCTTTTTTCTAAATAACTAAAAAATGGCTTACATTAGAACACTTCACTTTTTCCACATCATAGTTTTTAACAAATGTTCGTAAAATCTTCTTTTTTTGATGTATAGGGTAGGGTGGAGGACAGTCAGACGGGGGTCGGTGTTTCAAACCAATCAGAAATACTGCATAGCTTTTTATTAATTAAACTACAAGGCTAAAATTTATATACATATTTGAAAAGCCCTTAAAAATGGATGGTATATCATGTGTCACATGTTAATATTGGTCAAAATTAAAAATCATTACCTTTGAAAAATTTTCCGATGTACTTTTTGAACTTTTTTAAAATCTTCCCTTGCACCCTAACCATAAAAGTTAGAGATCTAATTTTTTTTAATGATCAGACCTTGAAAAGTTGGACTAAGGGCAAAATCATAGGGGGGGTGGAAAACACCCGCCCCCCCCCCGCTAAGCCTATTTAGACAAAAATAGCCCAGCCGGGATTGGGTTAAGAAGTCGAAACGAAAAAGCAACAAATAATTCATAAGAATATTTTTTATTATTATTAAGTGAAAATGATTTGCTGTATTTGAAGATTAACCTCATGGAGGTGTACACTGTACGTGTAAAATATGATTCATTTCCCTGGAACACATTTTATTCCCATCAACATAAATTATACACTTTACAATACACGCAATATTAGTCTAACCCACAAAGGAATATTTGAATTTAAGCATACACGGTAATTCACAAAGGATGAGACTTCAGAGACGACTGTACGGAATTTATTCATTCTTTTTTCTTACTTTCCGGGCACACATAAGTTTAAAAGTAGCATATACCTGGTGTACCTGGTGTACCTAGTGTACCTAATGTACCTAGTGTACCTAGTGTACCTAATGTACCTAGTGTACCTGGTGTACCTGGTGTACCTGGTGTACCTAGTGTATTTAGTCTACCTAGTGTATTTAGTGTACCTAGTGTACCTAGTGTACCTAGTGTTCCTAGTGTACCTAGTCTACCTAGTGTACCTAATGTACCTAGTGTACCTAGTGTACCTAGTGTACCTAATGTACCTAGTGTACCTAGTGTACCTAGTGTACCTAGTGTCACATTATCTGAACTATAGTTTTACATGTCTCATTATCTGAACTATAGTTTTACATGTTTCATTATCTAAACTACAGTTTTACATGTCTCAAAATCTGAACTATAGTTTTACATGTCTCATTATGTGAACTATAGTTTTACATGTCTCATTATCTGAACTAAAGTTTTACATGTCTCATTATCTAAACTATAGTTTTATACGTCTCATTATCTGAACTATAGTTTTATATGTCTCAATATCTGCACTATAGTTTTATATGTCTCATTATCTGAACTATAGTTTTATACGTCTCATTATCTGAACTGTAGTTTTACATGCCTCATTATCTGAACTATAGTTTTATACGTCTCAATATATGCACTATAGTTTTATATGTCTCATTATCTGAACTATAGTTTTATATGTCTCATTATCTGAACTATAGTTTTACATGTCTCATTATCTGAACTATAGTTTTACATGTCTCATTATCGGAACTATAGTTCTATATGTCTCATTATCTGAACTACAGTTTTACATGTCTCATTATCTGAACTATAGTTTTACATGTCTCATTATCTGAACTATAGTTTTACATGTCTCATTATCTGAACTATAGTTTTATATGTCTCATTATCTGAACTATAGTTTTACATGTCTCATTATCTGAACTATAGTTTTACCAAATTATTAAATTAATCATTAATGAAATTCTATTTCCAAGGAGAACCTGAAATTACAATTTACAAATACAAAAAAGAAATTAAAAATTTTGATATTTTTCAACTACTGGGTGAGTACAAAACGGAATTAGTGTTGTTTTACAAAACACCATGAAATAATAATGAGGAGGGTTCATGTGGAAAAATAATAAAATAAAGTAAACCAAATACAAAAATATTTTTTTAAATATAGAATTTTTTAAAAATATTTTTTCTTCAGAAATTTATTAAAAAAATTCTGTTCTATTGTATTCCAAGGTTTTGCAAAAATATATTTGTAAATAAAAAAAACCCAACAAATATCAGTACAACTTTTTACCAAATTTTACCAAAAATATCAACGTGGAACTTTCTTTTCTCAAAATTTTGTTATTCATAGTGCAATTCATAATATGTAAATCAAAAAAAGAAAATTGTTCAACTGCTTGTTCTACTGCTTGTTCAATTGCTTGTTCAATCGCTTTTTCAATGGCTTGTTCAACTGCGTATTGAACTGCTTGTTCAACCGTCTATTCAACTGCTTGTTCATCTGCTTGTCCAACCGCTTGTTCAATCGATTGTTCAACCACTAGTTCAATCGCTTTTTCAACCGCTTAATCATCTGCTTGTTAAACTGCTTGTTGAACCATTCATTCAACTGCTTGTTCAACTGCTCGTTCCACCACTTGTTCAATCCCTTCTTCAACTGCTTGTTTAACAGCTTGTTCAAGACATCCTTTAACTGCTCGTTCAACCCCTTGTTCAACTGCGTGTTTAACCACTCATTCCACCACTTGTTCAACTGCTTCTTTAACCTCTTGTTCAACTGTCTGTTCAACCGCTTGTATGCTAGTTCAACCAATTGTTCAACTTCTTGTTCAATTTCTTGTTCAACTGCTTGTTCAACTGCTTGTTCAATTGCTTTTTCAACCAATTGTTTAACCGCTTGTTCAACCTCTTGTTCAAGACATTGTTCAACTGCTTATTCAACCATTCATTCAAATGCGTTTTTAACTGCTCGTTCCACCACTTGTTCAACAACTTCTTTAACAGCTTGTTTAACTTGTTTAACAGCTTGTTCAAATGCTTTTTCAACTGCCTCCTCGACTGCTTGTTCAACTGCTTGTTCAACCGCTTTTTCAACCACTTGTTCAACCGCTTGTTCAATTGCTTGTTCAATTGCTTTTTCAACCGATTGCTCAAGCAATTTTTCAACCTCTTCTTCAAGACATCGTTCAACCATTCATTTAACTGCTTGTTTAATGGCTTGTTCCACCACTTGTTCAACCGCTTGATCATCTGCTTGTTCAACCGCTTCAAGAGCTTCTTCAACTGCTTTTTCAACTGGTTGTTCAACTGCTTGTTCAATCGCTTGTTCAACCTCTTGTTCAACCACATGTTCAATGTCTTGTTCAACTGTTTCTTCAGACACTTGTTCAACAGCTTGTTCAACTGCTTGTTCAACTGATTGTTCAACCACTTGCTGAACCTCTTGTTCAACTGCATGAACTGCTTGTTCAACCACTCCTTCAATGGCTTGTTCAACCGTTTGTTCAACTGCTTGTTCCACCACTTGTCCAATCGCTTGTTCAATCCCTTGTTCAACCACTTGTTTAACCGCTTGTTCAAATGCTTGTTTAACCACTTTTTCAGCCACTTGTTCAACCGCTTCAACAGCTTGTGCAACTGCTTATTCAACTGCTTATTCAACTGATTGTTCAATTGCTTGTTCAACCGTATTTTCTCAGGATAGAGTTAACATTTTGAAATCAATTTCTAAAGAAACAAAAATCCCAGGGATTTTTAGCTGCCGGCCCTGTTTATTAAAAATTTCATTATTTTTCAAACTATTATGTTATCAATTAGACGATAAGTAATCTACCGTTTGTCATAAATTTTAGTAATTTATCCCTCAAAAACATTTTTCTTTTCAAAACTCTTCGGAAAAGTTTGTAGAAAAGTGTTTAAATGAAATTTATATAACCCGGCCAAGCAAAGGTCCCTGAAGCCCCGAACAACGACGACGCCAATGCAGTTAGATCCGCTGCCGACAGATGGCGTTGACTACCATCAGTCATCAGATGAACCATCCTCATCCTTTCCTTCAACTACTGAACATACAAACCCTTATACAGCCTGGTTGTATTCGAAAGAGCTGATTGCTATTATAGGTATTTAATTTAAACTATGGAACATTATTTTCTTAAATACAAAACAAATTCCATAGAGTTTCATCCAATCATATGTTATTTCTTGTAAGGTAATTGCAGGCGCTAAATCAAATAGATAATTATCAACAGTGTTTTGTTTGTATCGATATTGCCGTAGGAGATTTAATAATTCACACTTTCTATATTACTTTAAACTAGAACAGTTATACCAAACAGAAAAAACGTGAGATTGAAATATTTTAGGTTTTTAACCATAACTCATCTTATTAAATGGCAGTTGAAAAAAAATGTTCAGAATTTTTTACATGTAACTAAAAAAACTCTGCGTAAAATCAAAACTAGAGGAGCTACGAGGTCACAACGTCGTACCAGGGAGTCGCATAAAATTTGCCTTCTCCTTCTGTCTAGTTAGCAGCGCAGTGAGCCACCATAAACTTTTCAATTTTCTTTAGCTATCTCCAGTTGATGAATGACAACGAAATGTACATTCCTTTATAAAAATCTGGTTTTTTTTGGTATGCAACAATTTTCATTTAATCCCACCGGGATATTTTCCTTTAAAAGATTATGATACAGATATTTACATGCCCATCCCTAAATATATGATACAGGTTTTAAGTAACTTCGATAACAACTCCAAAGAAATTTTCTCACATAAAAAGTTTGTTTCAAACTTGTTCTAAAAATATTTATATTCCTAAAACTCTATTTCTACTTATATATTTAAACTTTTTCAAGTTTATTAAATATTAAACCCCTTTTAAGCTACACGGTCTTTCTAAAATTTATATTTTTTCTAAAAATATCTCTCTTATCTTAGAAGGTGATCACTTATATGACGTACTGTCCAGGTACCCCTTACATAGTCTGTAATTGTACTGTACAGCAAAGTGATATAGGATTGGGAAAAGTTACGCTGAAGAATTGAAGATTTTGTGAGAAAAAAGCACAGAAAATTCTTATCCATTTAAGCGTTTAATGATGGCAAAACAAACAGCTAATTTTTGTTGAAACTTTGAATTTCGTAGATTTTTATGTCTAGAATTTAAAACTGCAGTGACATTTCATATTTTCAAAAAAACACAAATATTTTTAAACTGGCGTAAAGATCCTTTAACTCTTTATAAGCTTAATTATAGATGACCCTTCATGCAAAGCTGGCAATGTCTGATTCACAATACGGTACCCTTAAAACTTTTGTCTGATCAAACATGAATTCAATATCAATGTTTATGATTTTAATAGCTCATTTTTTCAATTTTGTTTTCTATAAAAAACTGACTTGTGTATTTTCATTGCAGGAAAACAAACAGGAATTGGCCTGGAAAATATCAAGAACAACAATATTAATTGTACATTATTGATAAGATAAGGTTTAAAGGGTACCGTTGTGAATTTTACATTAATATCTTTGCATGCTGGATCAATAAAACTACGTATACAGTCCTTTTCACGCTACTACATGCGTTCAGTTATTATAAAAAAATAACCGTTTCTTTACAGGCCCGTCATGTGTTTTGTTGTGTTCATCTATGCGTTAATGACCAGATTTGAAAAATACTAACCTACTCTAATATTATTATATGAGCTAGATACAATTTACCGCATACAAATATAATCCTTTATACTCAGCATTTAGTCAACGAAAGATAATTAGAAATAAATATAATAAACATACAGGGAGGCCCATAAAATGTGGAAAAAGGAGACAATTGTGTCAGTTCCATGAATATTCATAAACTGAGAGTCTTACAGTTGTCTTTCTATTCCACAGTTTTAATGATTCCCAGTCTAACAATCATGGAGTACTAGTACTGTATATTAAGGTGGAGTACTAGGGTAGGGTGGAGTACTAATACCATATATCAAGGTGGAGTACTAGGGTTCTGGGGTTGTGTTCTAATAATATATATTAAGGTGGAGTACTACGGTAGGGTGGAGTACCAATACGATATATATTAAGGTGGAGTACTAGGGTAGGGTGGAGTACTAATACTTTATATTAAGGTGGAATACTACTGATCTGGGGTGGAGTACTAATGCCATATATCAATATCAATATAATATATATTATAGGTGAATTACTAGGGTAGGGTGGAGTACTAAAAATATATATTATAGGTGGAGTTCTAGGGTTCTGGGGTGGAGTGGGTTCCCTTGGAACAATGTTTCTCATGATTTTGGTTTCCCAAAGATATTGCTGTGTTGAGAAGGAGGTGAGGAATCTAATTTTTCTTAAATTATATTAAAGGGACTGTTCGCGTATTTTTCCTGAATTAATTGATTAAATATTGTGACGCGTCTTTTAGATTAAAGAAAACACACAAAATCAAATTGAAAAAAGTTTGTGTGGGTTTTAATTGTAAGATTGGTAGAGCTATCTTTTTTTCTTTTTTTGTATAAACACTGTTAATTATAGATATGTTTCATATCTTCAATCCTTTATTTTTCACAGATATACTTGTAAACTTAAGTTTGTCGTTGTGAAATATTCTTTTTTGATTAAAATGTTGTCAAATTGTAAACGTAAATTTGTTTTAGAATTTTCAAGTCAGAACTTATTTACAATCTGCCTGAGAAATATTCATAAAAAGTGTTCTCCAAAATTATGTGGGTTAGAACGACGACTTTTATTTTTTAGGATAAGGACGAACCGGGGTGACTGGGACGAATGTTTCTCTGCATAGCTTATCGTCTTTCCGGCCGGGGGAAGGTATATTTTCATAATTTAGAAGAGACTGTAAGCGTAGTATCTAGTGATCCTCCATTTAAAGATGGAATATCTGATTCACAAGGGTTCCCTTATCAGCTTTGTCTAATCAAGTTTAAATTAAGGTTTATAATTTAGAATAATAATTATTTACAAAAGTGACTTACGCATTTCAACTGCATAAAAATGTATATAGGATTGATCAGATCTGAACACTTTTTGGATTATAATAACGACAATTTGATCCATATTTTTCATCAGATAAATAAATCAACGGTAATTAATTGTGTAAAACTAGATTCTTTATAACAACATCAAATACACACAAACAATTGATGAAATGTCGTCTTCCTATTCCAAAATTTTATGCGTCTCATTGTACATAAAAACTGTATGGTATACATGTACATTGTACAATGCACATTGTACAATATGATGAAAATGCATTCAATTTACTGAGTAAAATATAGATTATATGTCACTGTCAGATTAATACAACAAGCTCAATATTGAACATTCATAATTCATATATGCTTCAGTCCGCTTACAATAGTCAACAATATTTATTAATATTCAACAATATTCAACAATATTTATCAATATTCAACAATAGTCAACAATATTTACCAATATTTAACAATATTCAATAATAATTATCAATATTTAACGATATTCAAGAATATTTATCAATACTCAACAATATCTATCAATATTCGACAATATTCAACAATATTTATCAATATTTATCAATATTCAACAATATTAAACAATATTTATTAATATTTATCAATATTCGACAATATTAAACAATATTTAACAATATTCTATAATATTCGACAATATTCAACAATGTTTAACAATATTAACAAAATTCATCCATATTCAGCAATATGTAACAATATTTATAAATATTCAACAATATTCAACAATATTAAACAATATCTAACAATATTTAACAATATTCAACAATATTCGACAATATTCAGCAATATTTATCAATATTCAACAATATTCCTCAATATTCAACAATATTTAACAATAGTCAACAATATTAAACAATAAGCAACAAAATTAATCAATATTCAACAATATTCAGCAATATATAATAATTTCAACAATATTCAACAATATTTAACAATATTCAACATTATTGCTCAATATTCAGCAATATTCAACAATATTTATAAATATTCAACAATATTCAACAATATTCAACAATATCTAACAATATTTAACAATATTCAACAATATTCGACAATATTCAGCAATATTTATCAATATTCAATATTCCTCAATATTCAACAATATTTAACAATAGTCAACAATATTTAACAATGTTCAACAATATTAAACAATAATCAACAAAATTAATCAATATTCAACAATATTCAGCAATATATAATAATTTCAACAATATTCAACAATATTTAACAATATTTAACATTATTCCTCAATATTCAGCAAGATTCAACAATATAACAATATTCAACAATATTCAGCAATTTATAATAATTTCAACAATATTCAACAATATTTAACAATATTCATCAATATTCATCAATATTCAACAATATTAACATTGTTCTACAATTTTCAACAATATTTTACAATATTCAACAATATTTAACAACATTCATTGATATTTAACAATATTCATCAATATTCAACAGTATTAACAGTATTGAACAATATTCAACCATATTCAACAATATGTATCAATATTCAACAATATGTATCAATATTCAACAATATTCAATAATATTCAACAATATTCAACAATGTTCAGCAATATATAATAATTTCAACAATATTCAACAATATTTAACAATATTCATCAATATTCAACAATATTTAACAATATTTAACATTGTTCAACAATTTTCAACAATATTCAACAATATTCAACAATATTTAACATTATTCATTAATATTTAACAATATTCAACAATATTAATTGTATTGAACAATATTCAACCATATTCAACAATGTTTATCAATATTCAACAATGTTTATCAATATTCAACAATATTCGACAATATTTATCAATTGTCATCAATATTCATCAATATTCCAACAATATTTAACAATATTCAGTAGTATTCAACAAAGTTTAACAATATTCAACAATATTTAACAATATTCAACAATATTTATCAATATTCAACAATACCTATCAATATTCAACAATATTTAACAATATTCAACAATATTTAACAATTTTCAACAATATTCAACAGTATTAACAGTATTGAACAATATTCAACCAAATTCAACAAATATGTATCAATATTCAACAATATTCAATAATATTCAACAATATTCAACAATGTTCAATAATATTAAACAAAGTTTAACAATATTCAACAATATTTATCAATATTCAACAATACCTATCAATATTCAACAATATTCTATAATATTCAACAATATTCAACAATATTTAACAATATTCAACAATATTCAACAATATTCACCAATATTCAACGATTCTTTTTATAGATCTTCCCCCCCCCAAAAAAAAACACGGTTGGAAAATTGTTTCATATGTTGTTTGATTTGAATTCCTCTCCATAATGTTTTACGAAAATGTCAACAAGATTTTTTTGTCGTCTTCATTATTAAAACATGTCCGCAAGAAAGTTAATATATCTATATTTTAGGCTCCGGTTAACATGGTTTAGACTTCACTTTCAGATGCAGAAAACAGTTTACTGGAATTATAAACTTTACTGGAATTTTATTTTTATTTGAAACCATTGTGCTTGAAACTATAACTGTTTGTATTTAAGTGTGTAAAAGTAATTTTATTGAATTGAAAAATATCTAAAACAACAACTTTATTGCCAAGAAAATATTAAAGTTTTAAACAATATGAATTTATCAGCATTTACAATAATGTTAATGTATATAATGCAGATACTGTAATTTGACCTGTAGGGCAGGTGTTTAAAGAGTTCCAGGCTGTAATTTGACCTGTAGGGCAGGTGTTTAAAGAGTTCCAGGCTGTAATTTTTCTTACCATTGTTGGAACATGTTTTAAATATTTTGAATTATTTTATTAGACTTTTTTTTGATCAATTTGCATGTTTTTGATGCTAAGTTGTTAAATAAGCAATTCAAGATCAGATATCTTTATATTTTTAACTCTGCATACATGTTAAAAATTTATTTGCTTGATTGAAAAATGTAAAAAAAACCTCTTAACTAAAGACTGTTAAGAATTATTGCTTCGGGTCTTTTATATCTCGAATTTTCTACGCCTAAAAGGAAACATTGGCAACAAAACAATTCTTATGTTTTTCTTGATTGTTAAGTACACCCCTTTATAACCAGGGGCGTATACAGGAATATTCTCTAAAGGAGGGGAGGCTTAACCTTTCTAGACATTCCAACCCCTTGTTACAGGTTCAATTCCTCAAAAATCATAGCTTTTACTTTTCCAGGGGAGGGAAACAACCCTTATAGCCCCCCCCCCCCCTGTATACGCTTCTATATAACCATCTGTTTTTGTATAAATGTAAAAAGCTCAATTATCTGAAATATAATTATAATTCTTTAATTTACAGATATTTTTGATAAAAGTTTTAATTTTATGTATATAAATAATATTTGTCTAGGAGAAGCAGTAAAAAAAACTATATGACTAAAAGTTGTTTTACCTTTTATCTTCTATGTATATTAATTGCTTGTCTGTTTGTCTGTCTGTTTGTATCCAATAAACGTCAAAACGGCTGAACCGATCTGGCTCAAATTGTGTGTGGGACCTAACATGACCCCGGGGAAGGCTCATGGTTGTATGGAAGTATGCCTCCGAAAAAGTCGATTTTCGTTAAAATTTGAAAATCCCCGAAATTTTTTATAAAATCCGCGACCTTTTTCGTTTTTGTTTTTGGATGTTAAGAATCACAAAAAGTTGTCTCCAATAGTTTTGATTTTTGTAAAATTTTATTAATCCACGGAAACAAAATTGTGAATTAAAAGTTGATATAGAAAATGGACGTAAAGCACCCCGATAGCCTAGTAAAGATAAGGTTATAACAGACTCTTTACTTTTGGGTCTATACATCTGTGTAGGTTTGATTTTATGAAATAGAAAATAGAAAAGGTTAAAAGAAATCGAAATTATAAAAATAAAAAAGACTTAATATATTTTAATAAAAATCTGTGTCACTTAAAATTTACCATTCCATTTTTTAACCCGGTTATAGATACTTGTGCTGAGATTAAAAAAAAACTACATTATTTACACCTAAGTGAGGAAGAAGGAGGGCATGCGGCCATGAGCCTGCAATCTCCTGTTCGAACCCAGGTAGTTAGCAGAAACCTGGTTTCTTCAAGTCCCAAGAATCCTGTTTGAGCCCCGCAAAAGACTGTTTGAGCCTAACGAAAGTCTGTTAAAAAATTCTTTCAGTGAAAATTGGCTTAAAAAAAGGAATTTCAAAAAGTAAAACGTAGCAGAATAGATTACATAGCCTTTTAGTTTTTAAATGAAAAACAACGCTTTAAACCTCTTCTTCAGAGTCAAAGGTTTACATTATAAGATTTCACTTAAAAATTTGAGTTTAAGGCAAGAACTCAATGTCACCATCTGCATATTACCCTCCTACATATTAAACCCCCCCCCCCCTTCACTACCTTCTTACCAGGCTATAACTGACTTACTTCCTGTCATAGTTACCGTTACCCCCTTCCAGTCTTCTATTTCCTCTCTAAAGCTGACACCTTCAAACTGGGAACAAGATAGTTTCACCCCACCCTAATGACCATTCAATTCATTCAATCAACATCATAAAAGATTAGGCATCGTTAAGGATCTATTATTAACGATCAAAAATGTTAACGCTCAAAGTTTTTAATGATTATCCACCATTAACAAACCTATTTTATAAGTTTCCATCTTTACAGTCTCATCCTTTGTGTAAGTTTTCCTCTGTTGGGTTTGGTTTGAACAAAGAGACTTTAATCTTGAAGAATAAGATGACTGTAATAAAACTGCTTAATACCAGTTTCACGCTCACAAATATTCTGCAGCAGCTGTCAAATAAACCGCTTAATACCAGTTTTACGCTCACAAACATTCTGCAGCAGCTGTCAAATAAACCACTTAAGACTGGTTTTACGTTCACAAAAATTATGCAGCAGCTATCAAATAGACCGCTCAATATCAATTTTACGCTCACATGAGGGGAGGAAGGCCAGCCACAACAACTTCTCGTCCGAGCCACATTCTCCTCATTTTCTCATCCGAACCACCTCGAAATCCTTGTCCTTCGTTTATTATGTGTTGACAAGTTTCTAATTCTTGAAGATAAAACCATTTGTAACAAATCTGGCCAAGTTAGGGCATAAAATATGGATAAACTAAAGTATTGCCATGATTAAATCATGTTTGAATCTTTAGAGACATGAGAATGATGTCAAACTTTATTTAAGGGTAAAACTTAAAACACTTCTGCCTCCGTAATGGCCTACCTTCGCAATATGAAATAAATAGCAAAATATTTGGCATACCTATGCCTATCATTTTCCCCATGGAACCATTCGGAAAAAATCTATGGTTTTCACTATAATTAAAGTTCTTTAATGTCGGAATTATTTGCTGCATTCTACACCAAGAATATCTGAAAATGCGCGTAAAAAAGGTGAATATTTTTAAGGACATAGAACTCGAAAACTTTAATTCAATTGAAACTATTTTTTTCGATTTACTAAAATTCAATATTTCATTTATGCCCTATTGTAGCTAGGACTAGACACTTTTGAAAATAATATTGGAAGGAAGGGGATTTAGAGGTGGCTCGGACGATAAATTAAGGAGAATGTGGCCCGGACTATGAAATTGTTGTGGCTGGCCTTCCTCCCCTCCTCACATTATCTGCAGCAGCTGTCATATAATCCACTTAAAACCAGTTTTATGGTCACAAACATTCTGCAGCAGCTGTCAAATACGCCGCTTAATACCACTTTTACGCTCACAAACATTCTGCAGCAGCTGTCAAATAAGCTGCATAATACCAGTTTTACGCTCACAAACATTCTGCATCAACTGTCAAATAAACCTCTTAACGTCTTAAAACCAGTTTTAGGCTCACAAACATTCTGAAGCAGCTTCAAATAAACCGCCTAATACCCGTTTTATGCTCACAAACATTCTGCAGCAGCTATCAAATAAACGGCTTAATCCCAGTTTTATGCTCACAAACATTCTGAAGCAGCTGTCAAATAAACTGCTTAATACCAGTTTTATGCTCACAAACATTCTGCAGCAGCTGTCAAATAAACTTCATAATACCAGTTTTACACTCACAAACATTCTGCAGCAGCTGTCAAATAAACCGCTTAATACCAGTTTTGTGATCACAAAAAGTCTGTTTCAGCTGACAACTAAACCGCTTAATATCAGTTTATGCCCGCCAAACATTCCATGCTGACAGCAGTTCTGCATCAGCTGACAGCACTAAACCGGTTAATACCAGTTTGATGATGACAAGCACTCTGCAGTGTAGCTGACAACTAAACCGGTTAATACCAGCTGTATGCTGACAAGCATTCTGCAGTGTAGCTGACAACTAAACCGGTTAATACCAGTTTTATGATGACAAGCACTCTGCAGTGTAGCTGACAACTAAACCGGTTAATACCAGCTGTATGCTGACAAGCATTCTGCAGTGTATCTGACAAAAATATAACTATGTAAAGAAGCTATGTAAGAAATGCACGGGAAAAAAAGTATGAAAAGAAAAACTTGGGCAAAAAACGTCCCTATTTCCTGAAATTCCAAGACTATGGTTTACAACGAAAGCCAATTTCCACGCCAAATTTAGCAATTCTGCGGAATTTGTGAGGAATTCCGCATTTTTGTGGTAACATGAAATTCTGTGCGAAATTTGAATATCTGATACTTTTCCCCAGAAAACATTATCCCGGGACTGCCAATAAAGTCTCAGAATGAAAGATCACATGAATCATAGTACTAAAGAAAATATATCCATGGGAAAAATAAACTAGATAAGCCCTCAAGAAAGTTTATAAAAGTTGAAATGCATAAATAGTACTTTTTGAACAGTAGAAAATGTCGTCTTTACAAGTTTATGTTGATTTCTATTTTTAAAGGGAATCTTCTATTCCAATCAAATAAAGAAAATAAGATCTAAATTCAAGAGGGGCACCAAGCACCCTCGATTCAAGGTTCACACTAAAAGCGCACATACACACACTTAACACTCACACAAACATCTTTTCTTCCTATCCCACCTTACAAAATAAGAAAAGAAGGAAATAGTGAGAAGTATATTAAGTTTAAGATCTAAAGTAGAATGGCATGTTTAGAATAGATTCCTCTTTACTCCTTCTTCTATATACTAATTCTTGCATTCCTCTTTCCTCGTATCTTTCAGTCCTGATTTAATAGTTTTTCGGATCTTCATGATTCCTCCAATTGTAGATATTTATTCTTGTTGTCCTTTGTTTATTTCTCTTCTCTATTCAGACTAAACTAAATATAGAATGTTATAAATGTTGTGAACTGTTTGTTATGTATTTTTTAAAGATATTGTTAGAATTGTGTTTTAACTTATGTTTTGAGCCCCCCCATTTTATCTAAAAGAACACAGAAACTATAGGGGTCCGAAAAGGGTTCAAGAAAATACAAAGTATCATCTAGCAGTTCTAAGTATAACCCGGAGCTAAAAGTACGATATCTAGACTCGTACCGGGCTGGAAGAAGAGAGAAGGTTGGAAGGAGCGTTAAAATCTCCAGTCTGACACAACCCCCTCGATAGAATCCAACTTCTATCCTCTTTCTTCCCTCTCTGTGCCAATGCCCCGCCTACCATCTGATCAATATTTAACTTGATATGCACCCCACAACTTATCAAATAAACTTCACTATAAAATTAACCCAGACCGATTTGTTACAAAATAAAATCGGTTTTTTCTAAAAATCTGGTGATTCTGTAAATCTGTTTATCTGGTTAATCTGTTTATCTGGAAAATATGTTTATCTGGTAAATCTGTTTATCTGGTAAATCTGTATTTCTGTTTATCTGTTTATCTGTTTATCTGTTTTATAGGTTTTATCGGGTTTATCTGTTCACATGTTTATTTGTTTATCAGTTTATCCGTTTATCTGTTTATCTGTTTATCTGTTTATCTGTTTTATCGGTTTTATCGGGTTTATCTGTTTACATGTTTATTTGTTTATCAGTTTATCCGTTTATCTGTTCATACGTTTATCTGTTTATCTGTTTTATTTTTTTATCTGTTTATCACTTCATCTGTTTTCTGTTTATCTATTTCTCTTTTTATCTGTTTTATGTGTTTTTCTGTTTATCTGTTTATCTGGTTAATATGTTTATATATTAAATCTGTATTGTTAATCTGTTTATCTGTTTATCTTTTTATTTGTATATTTGTTTGTATATCTCTATAGATTAGAATAGGATTGGAGTGTATGTATCCTGTCAAGGGTACAGTGTATCTTATATAAATGATAATATAATCCAGAATTCTTTACTTAACACAACTCAGGAACAAAAAAAAATAGTAAACATCTGAAAATATTCGAATATATACTAAAACACAAAATTGCAAAATTACATTTTTCGAAAATTTAGAAAATAAAATTAGAATTTCAGTTTTATATCAATTTCTCGAGACAGAAACATCAGATATAACTTTTATGGGTCGCGATCAAGAGCTAAAGTAATTAGCTTTCAGCCTATACCACCTTTCATTTTTCCTTTACAGTCCCTTTAAGGCTGCATCTGGTTGAATTTAAACTCACTACAAGCGACAATTATGCGTGACCAAGAGTCAAATTTTTAAATATCAAATGCGTACAACGTTCATATTACCAATATGTAGTGATTAAAAAATAAGAATTTGAGATATTTTTGGGAGAAAAGCAAGGCAAAATAAACCTAGATATATTGGAAAGGAGGATGGCTTGAAACATATAAATTAAAAAGACAATAAGTTTATCTCTTTACTAAAGTTTGAAAACTAATCCCGAGTTTGAAGTGAAATTTTCCATCTTAATTTCCCGGGGAAATCTTGATTCAATATTCACCAAGAAAAGAATTCAAATTTTCAACACTCTAGCTCATCTTATACTCTCTAGGGATAAATAGAAACTAAAGGGTTTGAAGAGGGGGGGCGGAGAGATAAATAGAAACTGAAGGTTTTCAAGTGGGGGGCGGAGAGATAAATAGAAACTAAAGGTTTGAAAGGTGGGGGGACGGAATGAATGAAAATAAGGAACAAAGTTGTACTTATAGATGAATATGTTAAACTAAGCATAAAATAGTTGGCACCTTGTTTTTTTTCAGATAGCCAATTGCAATGGAGAATTAACAGTCGAGACCAACAGACAAAAATATAAGGTTAAACAAAATTTCGTGCAGTGGTTTGTTTTATAACTAAAGTTACCATTCGCTAACGATTGAAATTTTAGTAACGCGTTAACGGATGATATTTTAGAATTCGTTTCTATAAAATCAGTTTTAGAACAGGAAGATTTGTTGCACCCCTTTAGAAGATAATAAAACACATTTGGCAGGTTGCTCTTTTCCTGATTTTTCATGTTTTTGGCAAGTTTAAAGATTTCATTTTATATACTTTCTATACCACGGGCAGCCGTATACATTTGAATTTCCGAGTCGGGTTAACCTTTCCGGTCCCAGTTTGTACTGTACCTAGCTTTATGGACAGGACTAGCCGGTGCAACAAGGTTGACGCGGTCAGACTTTATGCTTCATATAGGTTGAATTTACTTTGACTACAGGGGCAGATTTGCATGATACACATGAGATATATTTTCAAAGAGACAGTATTCTTATGCAGGAGTTTCCAAAAAATAATGTCCTTCGGTAATAAGTTCCAACAGTAAATTCGATACAGTCGCTTTTACATATGAAGACAGTTATCAAGTCAAAGTAAAATTGAATTTAAGACTGAAACCTTTTATCATTTCAATCATAACTCATTATTTGAAGGAATATCGTAGACCTTAGATATTTTAAACCATGAATTATGTTACTTAAAAAAATCTAAGTTTGAAATATCAAAAGTTTACACCATCATATTACAAAGATATAGGGAATAAAAAATTTGAGTTTTTGGCAAAGACTTCATTTATTTCTGATACATAATTCTATTCTCAAAACTATAGAAGCTACGAGGTCACAAAGTCCCGTCTGTAATGTCGCCTGAATTTTATTTTCTCGATCCTCCTAGCTGTCTAGTTGCCAATGTCCTTTTATGTATTCTTCTTTATATTATTATTTCCATAATAACTTATAAAAAAGATGCAAGTTTTTAAGAAAATGCTTTATTATATTGTTTGTTACAGATTACTCGCTCAATTCACACAAAAGGGCGTGCAAGTGTAATTTAAAATTTGTATTCTTTAAAACAAACAATATAACATTTGCAATTTATTTTAGAAAATCTTATTTCAGTTTACGATAAAAGAAACTTTTTCTCATCATGTCCCCATTTACAGATAATTTTCTGAAGCTTGCTTTTCCTTTACAGATTATTTCAAACCACTGAACATGAATAGTTCACAATTCTGTCCATTCGAGTGAATCACAAAAAAGCCAAAACTTAAGAAAAAGGAAAATGTTTATAAATAAACGTTTTTAGGGCTGTACTTTCTTTGACCCCTGGAAAGTTTATGAATGATCGGCTGAAATAAAAATATTTTACCTTTTACAACAAAAACATACGTTTGAAACTAAATTTAAATAACATTTATAGATTTAAAGAGACTGTAAAGGAAAAATGAAAGGGGGTATAAGTTATATTTTAAATGTTATCTTTAACCTGTTTCATTTTTAAGATTGATATTTCAATCTTAGATTATTTGATTTAATAGAATTTATAGTTTGAAATATTTAAGGTCTACGACATAGACAAAGATATAGAGATTAGAAAATCAGAGTTTGTGTGAAAGACTCAATTCCTTTTCATGTTTTGTGGAAAACACTGAATTTTTCAACAAATTGTATTGCCAGAATTTTCCTTTTTAAACATACTCAATATAGAAACATTCGATGTGTCTTTATTTTAATAGTTATTGGATTTTTTATCAAGTATACTTTATTTAGAAAAATTCGATGTGTCTATATTTCAATAGTTATTGGATTTTTTATCAAGTCTAAATATAGAAGCTAAACAGAAAGGGCCGTACTCAAAGATATTATAATATACTATAGACAGGTCAGCAAATGTACTGTATTCAAAATAACAAAAACACGGCATTACGACTGATTGATAAATCGATATTTTTTTTTTAATTAATTAAATGAAATATTCAAAACTAAATAAATGTAAACTTTTAAGGCGCTTCGCGGGATTTTCGGTTTAAATAGGCGCATTTTTATAAAAGATAAATATTGAAATCTTTTCAACTTTTATCCTCTCTGGGGTCAAGTGATTTGCCGCCAAAAATGTTGGGGCTGATTGGTTTAGCCGTGTTTACGTTTATTGGATTTACAAACAGATAAGCACAAATATATATATATAGATCACCTCTCGTTACGCAATCCATTATGTGATGTAAATTTCTGTAGTTAAGATTCAGATGTCATGTCCTTTCTACAGCATATTCTAACTTCTTTGTCAGTTTTTCTAGAAAACATATTTGGTAACATTGTGTATTTCCGAACCAAACCGACACAGGGTCTTTCTTCGTTATATGTTATATATGTTTAAAATTAACAAAAACTTATAAACTTGGGCTTTTAGTAGCCTTAATAATGTTGCTCTTTAATGTTGCACCATTATGTCTTCGTAAACTAAAAATGTTTCGGATTTTCCTAAAAATTGTTTTTAAAAAAAATCTAAATTTGTTCAGTTTACCATTTTTTAACTTCTCAAGTATCATGTGAGGTGTGAAGAACTTTACCAAAAATGTGGGCCTGCTCGGTCCAGCCGTTTTGATGTTTGAATTCAATCACAGACAAGCCACAAATATAGATTAGGCTTGCCCAAACACTTTTGCAAAATTCCTTACAAAGACTGGAAATCCAAAAAGGCAATCCCAGTTTTTTCGATGTTACTCGACTTTAAAGTTTCTACTACTAAACAGATACAAAGAAACTACAGTGGTAGCGGACTATATCAATAAAATGAAAACGTTTTTTTTAAAGTTTTGATTGCAAACAAGCTTTTTAGATTTACAATTGTTTACAAGTAATCAAAAACAAGCTTTTTTAATTGAGAGCTTTTCTTGGCTATTATGGTTCGGTGTATTGATGCTGTTTAACAGCTTCAAATGAATCTAAATTTAAGTCGGAAGTCGTCTTCATTATTTTGATATATTTGCCTACCACTGTGTATTAGTACAAAGAAATTCTTTTGTCTATAAGATTTTTTTTTGATTATCAATATACGTCGAAATAGTTTCCCTTGTTCTTTTATAATGAAAAGTTTGGGGGAAACTTTAAAAGTTATAAATCCATGTAATCCAAGGTAAAACCTACATCATGGTTTCTGAAATAAAGAAAAGTATTGTGTATGAAAGCGATATGTTTGAAAAATTGTATAAAATACTTTTAATTTTGATATTTGGAGCTTCAACTATTTTACCGAACATAATTTATAATTAATAATAATCCCCTTATTTGCCATCTTTTTTTTTGTTACCATGCTTCCCCGCCATACTTTCCCGTCAATAAAGAGAAGAAAATAAGGAAGGAAAAGGGAAAAAAGAGAAGAATAATAAGGTTTTATATGAGGGGATTGTTTATAAGTACTAGTGTACTTACTTAATTTGCTGAGATTTGCAGTACAGTGTACACACTATCACTACAAAGCCGGAGCTAGTTCACTAGGTGTTTCTCGCTCGAGATACTAATATGAACTGAAATAATTGTTTAATATATTGTGAAGGGTACATGATTGACAGTCGAAAGGTCGGACTGTATAATATTTTTTGGTTATTTGAGCTACAGACCTATACAGTGAGATCCATAAAAGTAAGGAACATGAAGACGATTTGTTTACTATCTCTTGTGTTTTTGATGTTGTATTTAGCAAATAGCTTAATCAAGTGCTTAAAAACCAACTTATTAAGTGAAATGGGTCTCTGAACACTGGACAACTGCTGTGTTTCAAGTTGATTGAACTATTTAAAAACATAACTGTAGAGTAAAAACTGGATGTATAATGCTAACGTATACCATTAAAGTTTATGTATATTCAAAATCCTCAACCTTGATTAGGGTTAAGTTTGTACACTGGGAAAAATAAAGACTGTAACACTGGGTCATGTCGTGTCTTGAAGTTTAAGTCCGTATTCTACTGCATCTTTGTAAAATGTAAGGGTATAAAGAAAAAAAAAGAAAATTAGAATTTATATGAAAATTTTGCGCAATTTGAATAATAATGCCAGACTTGATTATCTATCGTCTTTAATTTTTTATTATTGCTGAAAAAGTAAAATAAGACATTTATTGAACTTGAAAAATTAGCATTTGTACTGTATCACGGTGATTGAAAAGATTGCCATTAAAGACAAAAGTTTATTTGCACAAATAAGTGATTATGAAATTATTTAATATATAAACATCTTATCTTTGAATTAATTCAGTCTGCATCAGCCATGCTTCCCTCTCTTGGATTAGGAAAATATAGATAAAACTTTTTGGAATTAATCTCCAGAATTTGAAAATTATAAAGTATTCATATTTCTGTAGCAATTAATTTCAATGATGTCCCCAGCTATAAGCCTATAATTCAAGCAAAAGAATTAAAACCAAACTCTAAGAAGTTTATTTTGATTTCAACTATACAGGGTGTTTCTCTACAACTGATATTTTTGATATCGGTTGTAAAGAAACACCCTGTAAATTTATATATGGACTTTATAACATACAGGGCTACCCACAAAGGATAAGACTTCAGAGACGACTGCTCGGAATTCATTCTGTCTTTTTCTTCAATTCCCAGTATCCTGCTGAACCCCGTTTCATCTTTTCCAACCCGTTTCATATAAAGTTCAAAACTTATTTTAGTATTATTGTCCAAAATCAACTTTTAGGTAAGTTTAAACTTTCAGGTCGTCTTTCTTTAAAGTCTCATCCTTTATAGATAACCCTGCAAGATATTAGCTAACAATATTTTCATTGGCTCTGAGTTCAACCCTCGTGCAAATCCAGCCAAAACGCTGGTCATCACTTTTTGTGTTTTTACTTTTAAAATCTCGAATAATGCCCCCCCCCCCATAAAAATAGCTTCAACGTAAAAATGTTAAATCTATATTATTCTAAACCCCAGGATTGCTCCTGTTGGGTCCTGTCTATGGTGTAAATATACTTGGTAAGCAAGCACATTAATCAAATTAACAAAAGCTACAAAATATTGTGATTTTACATTCCTACGGTGGTATGCGATTATATCCATATAATGAAGACGACTTTCGATTTCAATTTCGATTTATAATATAAGTTTTTAAAAAGCATGGATACGCAAAAACATAGAAGTCAAGAGAATATGTCAATTAAAAAAACTTCTCTTTAATTACTTGTAAACTTTTAGTTCGAAAAAAGCTTATTAATAATTAAAGCTTAAATAAAACGTTGTCTTCATTATATTGATATAATCGCATAGATTAATAATACTACAGATAGAACACTAGATGCCGTCTTTTCAAGATTTAGGGTTTATTCGTTTACAAAAACCCTGAGTCAGAATTACAATACAGAGAGAGACAGCATGCGCATAACTCATTTGAGCCTCTGCCTCAGGGTTATTGTGAATGAAAACCCCCTAAATCTCGAAAATACAACATCTAGTGTTCTATCTGTATTGTTTTCAATCTATGCATAATCGCATTAAAGGTAGTGAAGATTTAATTTCACGAGATCCGATATTTCTAAGTTGGTATAACCGAATTACAACCTTTTGTCTGATCATGAGATATCTTTAATATATAATCAATTTACATCTAGTAAAACTAGATCTGCCTCATGTATCCATTATCAGACCAAAGGTTTTTAGAGTACCGTTGTGAATCTAATATGCTATTATAAAAAAAGGCAAAAGAAAATTTCAAAAATTTCAATTTTTTTGTTCAACTTTTTTTTTGACTAGGTGGCAGTCCTCTGGCGACTGACGAGCCTCCGTTTGAGAAGCTTGACCACAATGTTCAGCCTGATGAAAGATGGGGAGCTGCTGGTCAGCGTCCTTATCCTACCAATGCCTGGTGGACCAACCTAGGTATAACAAGTCAGACTAAAAAACGGACCGATCTCACGTAAACCTTAAAGTAAATTGAACATAAGATTTTTCAATCATAACTCCGGTTTTAAACCCTTCTGATTGAGCTCTTTTTGTCTAATATAGATTAAGAAAGGTTTTTTTTCCTTCGAGTGTAATACATGTATGTTCCTAGTCGAACTTTTGAAGGAAGCTAATAAAAACCAGACCTCTAACTTTAATGATTACGGTGCAAGGGAGGCCTTACAAAAAAGTTTAAAAAGTCAGAAAAATGTTGAAAAATACTAAATTTTACTTTTGACAAGTATTAAAATGTGATACATATTATTACAATCATGTTTCAAGAGCTTTTGAAATAAGTAGATTTTAGATCTATAGCTTAGTTAATAAAAAAAGTGATTTACTGTTTTTGATAATTTGATTCACCAACAAGTCGTTTGACCGTCCATTGCCATTTTAAATGCTTAAAAAATAGCGTCTATCCAGTTATAAAGGAATTGAGTCTTTGGAACAAAATCAAATATTTAAACATCAATATCTTTAGAACCCGATGTTGTAAACCTTTGATATTTCAAACTCAGATTATTTGATCTAACAGAATTCACAGTTTGAAATATCTAAGGTCTGCAACATTTGGTTCCAAAGATATAGTGATTAGAAAATCAGAATTTGTGGCAAAGACTCAATTCCTTTAGACCTAAACCTTTGGATATTTTTTTATTGATAACCCTGAAACATAGAACAGAATTGCGAAGAAGATGTAGGTAGTAGGCATTGTTGCGGCTGGTTCAAATACCTTGTATCAACGAGATCCAGTTGAACAAGATGGATGTTAAATTTTATCTGATGAGAGGCCATGCATGAAAAGTTTTGAACTAGTTGTAGCTAGTTAGCTAGTTACAACTATATATTCCGTTCACGGTTCATACTTGTCCATCTTAGTAAACCCAATTTATACCAATGCACAAATCTACGAAAATTTGCCAAAAATAATTAATAAGATTCTTTATCGTGATTGTTTAGTATTTGGATCTGGTGAAAACTTAGCAAATCCTATGCCTTATCAAGTAAAAACTCTTGATGATGGTGTTCATGTATCATTCTCGAACAAGGTAAAATTATGTTTATGAAAAATGAATATTATTCTTTATATTTACATAACGTGTCGTGTCACTCTCGTGGAAAGCAAGTCATCGCCACACCCTACAATTCATCGCCATACCCTACAATTTTGACATATGTTGTAATTTTATCACATTCAGTACATCCACATCAATCATGTTGGATAAATTATCACATACAGGACATCCACATCAATCATGTTTGATAAATTATCACATACAGAACATCCACATCAATCATGTTGGATAAATTATCACATACAGAACATCCACATCAATCATGTTGGATAAATTATTGGGCTTGCATTGGATGAGCAAAGATGGGATTAAAAAGATTTCTGGGTCGAGCGCTAAGGTTGGAGGAAAATGCTAAATATGCTTTAATAGTTAATATTTAGTTTAAAGTTTAGCTCAAGGATTATGGAATCCCAACTGGAAAAGACCGGGATCGGAATTCGTTTTCTTAAATGTTGCTTTTTACTTTACTATAAAATAAGACCATCTTTTGTGTTGCCAACTACGTGGATGTTTTTAATTGTATTAAGAGATTTCATGCAAAGCAAGTATGATCACATGGTGAGGCGGAACGGGTCGACACTTTTTCCAATGTATTCCATACCCCTTGGTTTAGATTCAAGATTGTTTTTAAAATAAATTTTATTTCTGAGGTTGTTGAGGCAAAATACATTTTCATGGCATTTGTACCAAATATTATCATTACTGCAATGGAAGGGATGGGATCCAGAGTCTTGAGGTAATTTAGTTTTTTTTACCATTTTTCAAATCTCATTTCCAATACTTTTTATTACATGGAATTTTCTATTTAAAAGAGAGGAATACCGATTCACAAAGGTACCCTTTAAACCTTTATCTGATCAATTTTTCTAAAATATCGTATTTGCCACTCTTCAGATACATGAGGCTCACTTACAGTTCCTTGAAGAAGGTTGAGTTAATTACTAGCCCCGTTCTTTCGTGAATTCGCTATTAAAGATCTAATTTCTTAATTATCAAAGTAAGAAAGTTCCCATCAAATCAAGTAAAGTGGTTGTTAAAGTTGAAATATTTTTCTCCTAGCTTAGCTTTACTAGCATTTTATTTTTTTTTCAAAATTTTGGGGCTAAGTGTATGAAACTTTAATCCGACAGAATTGATTTAAATTAGTTAAAATGTATTTAATTTAATTCCATGTCTCAGAAAGTTTAATTCAATTTCGAAAAAAAATATCCGATTTCTGATTGGTTTTCAGTCTGAAGGCTTTACCAATGAGAGAGAATCTAATCAGGCGACAGTTGAACATTTAAAAGTTTCAGCTTGAGCTAAACTCCATTTAAAAGATCCCACCTCCTCCGGCTGTGGGACTTTAATCTAAGAAATGTTAGATAAGGAATTGCTGAGTTTGTTTACTCTAGACTAAATAAAGTTTCCTTAAATCAATCCAAAGGAAATTTATTTGGAAAGATTTAACATTTTTCTCAGAAACTATTACTATAAATTAAGCAAAATAAAAGTAAATTTTTTTATATGAACTCTTGCATACTCTCACTAGAAGATGATGATTTATTTGGTGTATTTTCTTAAAGTAAACTTCCCAAATGGCATTTTCAAATTTTATTAAATGTGTCATTTGAGACTGAAACAGGAAATATGTCTTATGTATTTCAAATTTTTTAATTCTGTTGATCAATTTAATTTAAATATGAATTAGCAAAGGTCTACGCCATCAGGATGCAGTTAAAGGGATTATGAAGATTATAAATATATAATTTCTTTGCCTCTTATAGATTATTGTAGATTTGGAAAGTTCCTACTTGGGTTAAAGTGTTAACTGTGAAAATTAGAATTAACATGAAAACTGGTATAATTTCATTCCACAGTTTTCTGGAGACCACTGTAGTTTCAAATATATATGTTAAGTGCATGGGATCCCCTGTCTGTAACAATGGCCTATGACAAAGTTGAATTCCCATTTGTCCGAGGATCTCCATATATTACAGCAAAGGTAAGGAAAATTTCTATTTAATTTCAGAAAAGCTATCTTTTTAAAGGGACTGTACACTGTACACGTTGTTTTAAAGGGACTGTACACTATACACGTTGTTTTAAAGGGATTGTACACTGTACACGTTGTTTTAAAGGGACTGTACACTATATACGTTGTTTTAAAGGGACTGTACACTGTACACGTTGTTTTAAAGGGACTGTACACTATACACGTTGTTTTAAATGGACTGTACACTATACCCGTTGTTTTAAAGGGACTGTACACTGTACACGCTGTTTTAAGGGGACTGTACACAGTACACGTTGTTTTAAAGGGACTGTACACAGTACACGTTGTTTTAAAGGGACTGTACACTATACACGTTGTTTTAAAGGGACTGTACACTGTACACGTTGTTTTAAAGGGACTGTACACTGTACACGTTGTTTTAAAGGGACTGTACACAGTACACGTTGTTTTAAAGGGAGTGCACACTGTACGCGTTGTTTTAAAGGGACATTACACTGTACACGTTGTTTTAAAGGGATTGTACACAGTACACGTTGTTTTAAAGGGACTGTACACAGTACACGTTGTTTTAAAGGGACTGTACACAGTACACATTGTTTTAAAGGGACTGTTCACTGAACACGTTGTTTTAATGGGATTTACACAGTACACATTGTTTTAAAGGAACTGTTCACTAAACACGTTGTTTTAAAGGGACTGTTCGCAGTACATGATGTTCTAAGTGACCCTCCATTTGTAGAATGGCATGTAATAGATATAGTAACAACGCCCTTATCTTTGAAACCTGAACATACATATATATGTTTTATTATAGTCACCTGCAACCGTGTTATCGGTTAGTTTAATCTTTACCTGTACCTTTATACCAAAATATAATTAGTTGAATATAGACTCTGTTTACGGACGGTTAGAACTACTCGAATAGAGTATAGTACAATAGATGGCAACGTAGAATTTGTACACTCTGAGTACAGCTGTATTCTTACGTCACAAGTGTCAACAGTTTTATGTGTCCGACAAAGTTAGTATAAATAGTGATAATTTTAGAATAAAGTGCTTATATTCCAGTAAAATAAGTGCAATTTTATGTTTTCTTTAGTTTCTGTTTTTACACTTTATCATTTAATCTTGGAAAACATGTCAACTAATGTGAGAGAATTTCGTTTTCCTTGTTCTATTTGACACTTGTGACGTCGTGTATGATTGGTCCATTTCTCTGTTGCCACCCATTATACTTGATAATCTATTTGGAACTACCATTGCTCAGTAGAGAGGATAGAGATTGATAGCTTTGTGTGTGGATAGATAAACACTTAGATCTAACCAGTGTTTGGGAGAAGGGATAGTGTTTGATAACTTTGTGTGTCGATAAATACATACTAAGACCTACCAGGGTTCAGTTCGTTCAGTAGAGAGGATAGAGTTAAATAACTTGTGTGTGGATAAATGTACACATATAGAGAAATATTAAAGTAAGGCATATATCAATACGATTGATAGTAGTTCCTCTTTAAACATTTTACTAATCCAGGATTACAGAGCTGTCCGCATCTCATCTGCAAAACCGCGCATTTTGCGAATAAATATATATTTTTAAATACATATATAAACAAAAGACATTTTCTGGAAGTCAAAGAAAAAAATATGTTTGAATCAGCTGTGATTGGTTTCTCCCATCGATGATTAGATAACAGTTTAAATGGTACTACTATGTATTAAGAATGCCACTAAAGAAATGGAGAGTCCATTAAAACTTTATCTTGTAGACTCTTAAAGAAACATTACATATTCTAATTTTTTCTTATTTGAAGTATTCTGGTAAAACTCCTATTCTGGCAAGTACACATGCTGTTATCAGCGTGAATGGTGAGGCAGTTGGAAGCCAGATCACGTAAGTATAATTCTGTTCATTTAATAAAAATGAAAATTCATAAAATTTTTAGTCAAGTGTTAAATTTGTTTACTTTAGAACAACATTAAATACACATAAAATTACTTAAAAGTTTTCCTTTTACAATTTTTTGTCACAAGTGCAGTAAACACATTTTACAATAATGATTTCTTAGTGGGAACAAGTTTGATGTTGATTTGAATAACGGCCAGCACTGGATGGTATATACAAGTTCAGATGTTAGCTTTTACGTCAACAGTGACAGCCTTTCAGCATCTGGACCATTTACTGGAACTCTCCGGTAAGTGTCAACAATTATGTCTCATTGCAGAAAGATTCTAGATCATGGCATAGCAGATCTGAACAAAAAGCTTGACCTTTCTGTTTTGATATAAATCTTTAATTCTTGAAAAATTTCAATATGAAAGCCAAATAAAATTAAAAAGAAACACAAAATTTGTGAACGTAGAAGGCTTAAAAGAACATAAAAATAAATCAAATTTAAATGACTCTAAAAAAATCACTCAAACCCTATAATAATAACCCTCTGTTTAGAGTTGCTTGTGTTCCCCCAGGAGAGAACTCTGCTGACCTAGATGCTCATGCCGGGTCTATACCCATTGGAGGAGAGGTAATTTAGCATCTTTATTCTAGGTCTGCATACGTTGGGGGAAAAGTAATTTAGCATCTTTATTCAGTGTCTGTACCTGTTGGAGGAGTGGTAATTTAGCATCTTTATTTAGAGTCAATGATTTAGTTTAAAAGCAGATCTTCATAATATATAATACAGTGTGGCTACACAGTAGCTACCTGTTTCAGTTTTAAAGTATTTAAACTCAGTTTCGGTGTAAGCCAAATTATTAAGCTTTTCAAACATTTCATTTTCCCACATTAAAGTGATAATGCTAATGATGAAACTGAAGGTTCTAACACTGTTTCCCAGGTGACAGCTGAATCTGCTGGAGATACTGCAACTATCACATTTACCTGGAAACTGGAAGGATCCGGAGAACCTCTCATCATGGCTCTGCCTCATCATATGGATATCCTACAATCACCTCAAACTGGTGGAATCAGGTCAAGAATTAGTCACTGTTGGTACTAGAATAGGGTAGGTAATCATATTATTAAAGCTGTTGTCCGTTGCTTGTGGTAAGTAAATGCATCGTTGGGAATGCCAGAGTTCACTAGCTATGAGTTCTTCACCATTAATTGCGTTGAAGTGGACTATAGTGATGTCATGTCTGCACATCTTTTCTGCACTATATACAGAGTTGTTTTTGTTTCCTCTGTTTTCCCACTGTATTAACTATTTGGAATAATTATATTTTTTTACAATGAAGAGAGTGTTTGCTTTAAATTTTATCTCCAAAGTTCTTTAGTAAATTATGATTAGTGTTCTTCATAATTCTGATTTTAGGTACAATACCATCAAGGGAGATATGACTGGAATAATAGGCTCTGTGTGGAAAATGACTGAAAGATTAACATCTATACAGTGGGATGCACCAAGAGGAGTTGCACCTAAATATCTGGATGCTGTTAGGTAAACTCAATTGGGAACTTTTGAATGAACAGAATAAACTAAACCTGTTATCTCCTGGTTTCTGCAGATTAGTTGTCCTCACTTGGTTAACATTTTGGATTAGATTATGAAATGGGAGATTGGCAATTGTAAAGAGAGAATGAGTTTAGCTTAAATTCTCGTTCTTTTTTGTTTCTAGCGCATAAATCCACTAAACACTTACGTGAAGAAACGAAAATTTTTAATTTTAAAATATGAAAACAAGGCTATCTCGGTCAAAACTGCTTAGTGCTGTTGTGAATCTTTTAAAATTACACTGACAATTCCTTTAAATTTAAAACTTTACAATTTCAGAGATGCTTTGAAAGCAGATATCGGAATTCAAGTTGTTGCTGGGGATCCATACTTTGGGGGAAAGGTATGGTATCTTTAGTCGAAATATGTATTTATGTATATATGTGGTATCTGGCGAGGGAAGGAAGACCAACCACAACAATTCCTAATCCAAGCCACATTCTCCTTATTTTCTTGCCCAAGCCACCTCAAAATCCTTGTCTTTTCAAAATATTTGTTTTAAGTATATTTTTTGAGTATCTGTCCATATTAGGGAAAAAATGAAATACTGAATTTTCTTTTACAAATTTTAAATTTGTGAAAAAATGTATATGCTCCCAAAACGATGTTCTACAAAAGCATCTGTCTGCAGTAGCCTTTTTTTGCGTAGAATGCCGCAAATTATTATAAAATTTTTATCAAAACAACTGTTTCATCCAGCCAAATTGCAACAAAATTAGATATATTTAACTAAGATCATAAAGAGTGAAAAAAGGCAACAAGACCGTTTTTGAGGCAACTTGACAAACTCAAGAATGATCAGTCTTAGCATCGTCAGTACTTTTGCTAGTAAAAAAAAGAAAAAAATTTCGATTCTAGGAAATGGGAACCCTTGCCCGTCTTGCCTTGATTGCTGATGAACTGGGAGAAACTGAGTTGGCAGCCACCTATCGAGAGAATATTAAGAAGGCCATGGAACCCTGGCTAGCAGGTAGGAGTTGAATAGTCTAGGGGCAGGGGGCGAGGGGCAGGAAGCAACCGGTTTGGTATTGATTTGATTTTTCCGGAACAGCTAATTTTTTGGAAAAAGAAAAATCTGGTTTGAAGTTTTCAAATAATTTACATTCAGTTCCAACTTCAGTAATATAGATAATGATGGGCATCATTTGAGGCCAAGTTTAAATATGAAATCAAGAAGTAGTTACAATGTCTATAAAGGCGGAGGGGGTCATCGATGAAAACTTTTGCTTTCGGATGCTGTTATAACCTTCAAAAGTAGACCTAATTAGCTCAGAAAAGAATCCAAGGATCCTTAAATTACAGATCTATAATTGAGCTCTGTTTTATTCCAAAATATCGATACAACCACAGATTTTTCTTCTCCTTATAGGTTAGACTGTAATCTAAAACTCTCTCAACATTAGTACATGATTTAAAACAAAATATTATACTTGGGACTATGTTGTAATTTCATGTAACATCATATATATTTGTTGACTTTAAAAGTCACTATAATAAAACAAAGATATCTGTAATGGATATTTCTAACATTTATTTTAAAAAATGAAAGTTTTGAAATATTTGCATAAGACTGAGTAAAATTGGTTGGTTAAAAATGAACAAAGAAAACTATTGACGAACATCAGTTGGAACATATTTGTAGACTGTAGAGCTTCATGATGGTGGTACAGATCATCAGGAACTGGAACAACAGGTTTCCGCTCACCCCAGGCTTTGGATAAGGAGGGGGAGAGATCGCAGTTCTATCACTTTTGAATATGAGGGAATGCGTCTCAATGTTCGCATGATAATTTTGGAACTCTTGGAACAATATTGAGTCCAGGCTTCATGGATAAGGAGGGGGAGAGATCGCAGTTTTATCATTTTCGAATATGAGGGAATGCGTCTAAATGTTCACATGATAATTTTGGAACTCTTGGAACAATATTGAGCTGGATGTAAGCATCGTCTGTTGATAGCTAGGTATCTGCAATCTGCAATCACCATGAAGGAGCCAGGGTTGCTCCCTGAGACGGAGTTGTGATCATCTCCAGTGTTTCAATCTGACTGCCGGGCTGGGATGTGTAGAGGGGTGAGGGTGGGAACGAAGGAGCGAGGGTGACATGTGGGTGCTTCATGGCGGAAATAGATAAACACGTCTTGAGAATAGTCAACGGCATCTGAGTCGGTAAAATCGTCTTCCTTATATTATGAATTTGTGTTAACAATATTGTCTTAAAAAATGGCCATTTAAATCTTAAAAGCTCAGTCTGTCTGGTAGATTGTTAAACAATGTTTTCTTACATTTCCATTTTCATTTTTTATATTTTTAGGAACAAATTCAGATCATTTCACGTATGATCAAACCTGGGGTGGTCTTATAACCATCAATGCAATGAATGACGGGGGTGCCGATTTTGGACAGGTAAGTTCAATTGTGACCAAGTTAGTTCGATTTTGGACAGGTTAGTTAGATTTTGGACTATTTAAATCGATTTTGGATGAGTTAGTTTGACTTTGGATAAATTAGTTCGATTTTGGACAGGTTAGTTCGATTTTGAACAAATCAATTCGATTTCAGACAAGTTAGTTCAATTTTGGACAAGTTAATTCAATTTTGAACAAGTGAATTTTATTTTGAACAAGTTTGTTGAATGATGGACAATTTAGTTTGATTCTAGACAAGTTAGTTAATTTTTGGACAATTAAATTGGATTTGAACAAGCTATGTTCAGTTGTGGACAAGTTAATTTGAGTAAAAGTTTAGCTAGACAAGGACAGATCAAGATGATTTTGGACAATCTAGTTCCATTTAGATGTTAGACAGTATAGTTGGGGTTTGGACAGGTTAGATACATTCTAGACAAAAGTAGTTGAATTTTGGACAGGTGAGATAGATACATTCTTTTGGACAGGTTAGTTAGAATTTGGGACAGGTTAGTTAGCTTTGGACAAGTTAGTTAGATTTTTGGACAGGTTAGTTAGATTTTGGACAGGTAAGTTAGATTTTGGATGAGTTAGTTAGATTTTGGACAGGTAAGTTAGATTTTGGACAGGTAAGTTAGATTTTGGACAGGTTAGTTAGTTTGGACAAGTTATACACATTCTTTGACAAATGTAGTTGGATTCTAGTTGGATAGTTGGTATAGTTGGATTTTGAACAAGTTAGATACATTCTAGACAAATGTAGTCTGATTCTAGACGATTATAGTTGGATTTTGGACAAGTTTGTTTGATTTTGGACAAGTCTAATACGTTCTTCACAAATATAGTTGGACTTTGGCAAGGTTGAAATAGATTTTTCAACAACAAACAACATAATCCTTGTTATACTTCTTAAAAAGATCTGAAAACTTTAAAGTAAAGGGCTTTTTGCAGGCAATTAACTTTTACAAGGTTTTATACAGTTTAAACGTTAATTGAAACATTACTGCAGCAATAGTTTTTAACTCTACAGCAGTGCAGTGCAGGCATTTGGAAATAAAATCTTGGAATAAAAATTATTCCTAAAGGAACTGTACACGTAATAACGTCTGAGCCTCCATTAAAAGATACCCTTATCTGATCAAATAAAATCCTTTATTCTCTATATAAAAATTGATCATTTGTGTTTTGGGTTCTCTTTAAAACCGACCTGCGGATTTTTCAGCAGAGACAAGGTGGAAAATCTATCTTTTTTCAAGATAGAATAACGACGATTTCTTCTGTTTTGTTAATGAGATAAAGTTTTAAGGGTACGTACATACGTACATACACCCATACGTACATACGTACTACGTACATACGTAGAGCTGGGAATTTGGTATGCCTCATATTATGTTACTTTTTTAATAGATGGTCACTTCAAACATAAGAACAAAGTCAAAACTGACCCCCTGAGTATCTGTCCATATTAGGGAAAAAATGAAATACTGAATTTTCTTTTACAAATTTTAAATTTGTGAAAAAATGTATATGCTCCCAAAACGATGATATACAATATTTCAGGGGTTGTATAATGATATACAATATTTCAGGGTTGTATAATGATATACAATATTTCAATATTTCAGGGGTTGTATAATGATCATCATTTTCACTACGGATACTTCATGTACGCAGCTGGTGTTGTTGCGAAGGTAAAAATCTAAATTATAAAAGAAAAATTATGAAATTATAAAAGAAAAGTAATATGATAACAGTGGCATATCCCTCAAATAGATATTTTCTACTTCTACCCAGTGTTGTTATTACGGGTAACATAGCTGTAACTCAAACCGTATGTTTATTGAAAGCTCCCTTCCAGCTCTAGCTCTCAATGATATATTAACAAAAGTCATGCTTAACTCTACAATTCAATTCAGAATATGAATGACAACACTGAAGTCATTTGATATTGCACCAATTTACACCCAACCCCTAACCCTACCTTATTCCTCCATGCTAAGAGGGCAATGTCATATTCACAAAGGTACCCTTGAAAGCTTTGTCTGATCAAATATGAATTACATATTAATGTTTATAATTTTTTTTATGAGTTATTATTTTCAATTATTTATCAGTTAAAGGTTTTAAGGGTACCGTTGTAAATCGGACTTGGATTGAAGGGTCACTTGAAATTAAGCTAACATTCCCTTTAAGTTCTTGAATCTACTTGTAGTAACACCCTTTATTCTGCACCTGTACCTGTACCTGTACCTGTACCTGTACCTGTACCTGTACCTGTACCTGTACCTGTACCTGTACCTGTACCTGTACCTGTACCTGTACCTGTAACTGTACCTAATACACTGTACTGCAAATTTATTATACTGCAGGCTGATCCTGCATGGGCTGAGAAATGGCGAATTCCACTTTTTCATATTCTTCGAGATATTGCAGATCCATCTGGAGCTGATCCGCATTATACCCTTGCCAGGTTAGTAACGGGACTATTATACTTCATGAAATAAGTTCAGAAAAACAAAAACGCAGTCACTTAAAATAAGTTGCTGATGCGCATATAATAAAGAAGATGTTTCATCCATTAGGGTTATCTGATATCCTATATATAGAATATAGAAACCATTAAAAATATATATATGATAATAAGCCAAATATACATTTGTAATAAACACAAACAACCAAAATAGATTATTTTTTAAATAACAGGGACGCTAAAAATCCAGCTGCATTGAAAAGGGTTGAGAAATATTGCAAAATCGCATGGCTTTACTAATCGGTATTTTACTGTAAACATTTTTCCCGAAAATCAGGCCTACTTGTAATTTTATAATTTTAAATAGCCATATAATATACGGGGACAGTTTTATAGAGCTCCATATATTTATTCAATTAAAAAAGTAAATATCTGCAGCAAATTCCATATAGTAGTTTAAGAAGACGACATTCCGAAGTTCTGGGTTAAACTGTAGGATAAGGTTCTGTTTGCAAAACATGGCGTCTAAGAATGTTTAAGTTTATTTAGAGCTTAATTGATTTCAATTGAATCTAAAGGGTTGATACCTTTTTATTAAGATAGCACTTAGCCACTTAAAAATAACTTGATCCGGCGCAAACTTTGAAATGGAATTTAATTTCAGGGTAATCTTAAATAACGCCCAAGGGCTACTGTTTTGGGTGTGAAAAATCGAATTTTTAACTTTAAAGTATAAGTAAGCGTAATTTCTCGAGTGACCCTCCATGCAAAGATGATTTACAACAGTACTTTTAAAAGCCTTGTCTGATCTAGTATCAGTTGGATATCCATGTTTTTGCTTCTTTAAAAAGCTTAATATCATTTGCGGGTTCTCTAAAAAAGTGCTTTGTGCATTTCTTTTCTTATACATGCGACAGTATTCCAGCTTAAATATCTAATATCGAAAACGCCTTTTTGTGATATTTTTCAAATGTGGTCTACCATTTTTGTATTTTCAAAATTGACGGGGATTGCGAAATAGACAAATTTCGATTTATTTAACAAATCAAAATTGTCTTAATAACTAATATCTTCGTCAATTTTTAAGTTACAAGAAAGATACACCACTTCATGAAAAACTCGTCAGGCATACAGCCTAGGTTTTTTTTACTTTCTTTGCCATGCATTAAATATCAGAAATCAAAGACGACTTTCAATTCGTCTCTCAATTCCCATGTTTATTGTGACACCCTGTACGAAGCAATGGAGAAGTTATTAGAATTAAACACCTTCCGAGTCAGAAAAACGACAGTATCTTCCAAATTTCTTATCAGATATTAAGGTTTCAAGGGTATACCTTGAAAATTGGGCATTGTCATCTTTGCATTATGGGTCACGTTAAATTACGCTTACAGTCCCTTTAAATTATCCCTTTTATTTTTTCATTGGTACATAATTTTTACATGTGCAAGGGGTAGACAACATTAATTACGTAATATACATTTTTGCAGGTGTTATTTAAAGTTAGACCGGGGAAAAATTGAAAAATTCAGAAAGAGATATTAAAGAAAGATGCAAAAAAAGGTGGCTTAAATGGGGGGGGGGGGAACAGACTTACTGCGCGGGCACAGATTATAATCAAAAGTATTGAACTCTTGTTAATCAGTTTCCTACTCAAATTAATCTCTCTAGAAGAAGATGGTTTACTTGGTTTTGCCAGGAATAGTCTTTATGTAAAACTAGTTTTAGCAGCATGAAAGTTGGTCTTTTACAGGGTGTCCCAAAAAACATGGGAATTCAGTGACGAATTAAATATCGTCTTTGTTATGAATTAGCAATGTAATACCTAATTTCAAAAGCCATATTATTATTATGTCTGCTAGAGTTTTTTTTATGAAAAGGGTAAAAGATGTGTAAAGATGTGTCTATAATGTCTCCGCAAGATGAACAGTGAAGACGGACAAGTTTACTCTTTTTGTATACTGCAATTATCTTGTTTTACTAAAAATAACCATATGCAGTCAAAACATAAACAAAAAAATGTGAATATAGCAGACGAAACTCTTAAAGATTACAGCTTTCTCAGTATAGGTATCGCTATACTAAATCAAAGAATTATTTAAAAAGACGATATCGAATTCGTCACTGAATTCTCATGTTTATTAAGACACCCTGTTGTTTAAATGAACCGAACTTGTGAGTGTACTCGTCTAATCTATTTTTTATCTCTAGGTGCAAGGATTGGTATATGGGACACTCCTGGGCCAGTGGGATCACAGAGTTTGGAGACGGACATAATCAGGTTCAGAGCTCTTCTGTATATCTATCTTATATATCTGTGTCTCTATCCTATCTATACATAGTCCACAAAAGACTATACATCTGAGAGTTTCAGGTCGTTTTTAAAGTTTCATCTTTATGTTAACCCTGTATTTCAATAATCACGAAGTTAGCATATTAGAGCTGGGAACTTTAGAATGGTGGATATCAGGATTAATGCTTAATCCTCTCTTTTTGCTAACCTCGAGACTAACATAACCTCGAGATTATGTTAGTCTCCAGAGCTGAAAACTTTAGAATGGGATATCCTTAATCCTGATCGGATAATTAATCTGGAGATTAAAAATGAGAGGAGAACAAGCAAAATTTAATCTGGATATTAAGAAAAAGAGTGGATTAAGCATTAATCCCGATATCCACCATTCTAAAGTTTTCAGCTCAGATTAAATATCTAATTCAACAAATTTGATTCTAGGACCGCCAGATTTGTTCGTTTTCTTGACTGGAAGGGCCTTCACTTAATTTCTAACACATTTATTTAATAATGCATTAGTTGAAATTAGTTTAAAAAGAATTTTAAACGTATTATCACATATTTTTCTTCACCGATTAATTTACAAAATGGCCGACAACAAATTATTTATTTGTTAGAAATTGCGGAGGTCTTTCATTAAATAAAAATTATTTTTAAGACTGTCATTGGTCAATACAATTTACGAACTATATTTTTGAACTTTCAATTGAGAAAACAATATACGGATATCCAAAGAGAGAGAAAAAGAGTGGATTAAGGACTAAAATTAAAAATTTCCACAGTGGGTATTCGGATTAAGCAGTCGGGATTAAAGGTTATTCATTCTAAGATTCCCAGCTCTGCTTGCACTATCTTTAATTGTTAGTAATCCAAGGTTTAGTTTAATATCTTTACAAGTTAGTAATCTAAGGTTTAGTTTAATAACTTTACATGTTAGTAATCTAAGGTTTAGTTTAATATCTTTAGATGTTAGTAATCTAAGGTTTAATTAAATATCTATAAATTTTAGTACTCTAAGATACCGTATCCTATTTATGTTGTTGTTAGGAGTCTACCTCTGAGTCAGTGAATGGATGGTATGGAGTTTATCTTTTTGGATTAGGTATTGGAGATCAACGTATCAAGGTAAATAAAAAGGGACTGTTCACTTTATTTCAATTAACGTCCTGGATTACCAACTGATGATTTATATCTGAACACAGTAAATTACAACCTATACAATTGTAGATTTTTACTGCAAAGCCCAGCAAAAAAATGTCAAACTTTGTAAATTTTCAGAAAATTTTAATTTTTTGAATTTTCAGAATGAAGGATTGACATAAAAATGGCAACAATCAATTCTCATTTTGTTCAGAATTCGAGCATTCCGTTAATAATTAAATCAACTTACAATTCTTATTCCTAGTAAATTTATATTTTCTATAATTTGTGTTAAATCAGAAAACATCTTTATAATTTAAAAATATGAATTTAGGATCTTGGACGCCTACTGATGGCAACAGAAATAAGGTAAAAAAACCATTCCGTATCTTTTATGAATTAATATTCTGATTCACAAGTTTTACATTTTTTACCCATATACAAAAATAAATTTAGATTTTGACGCAGTTCCCCTTTAGAATAAGACTGACGCACTGTTACTTCATTTAGGTCTACGCATAAGTACTGGCAGATGACAAGTTCAGATTCTATCTATCCAGAACCATTTGCAAGCAACAAGGTAAGATTACGCTTACAGTCCCTTGAAGAAAATTGAGGATCATTCTGTAATTTTTAACTTATTCTTAAAGAAAAAATGAAAGACGAAGTTCATTCATAGAGAATAGAATATATATTAGAGGTGAATTTAAAGAATCTCTCGGTATGAATTTTTCTAGTCCCTTTCAGCCTGAAAGGGAGTTCAAAGTGTACAAATCATGTAAATGTTCACAAATTATATGCAGTAGAGTACATTAGTACAGTATGTTCCCTAGACTATTCATTTCAATTTCGAGTTTTTTAAACTGTTAAATAAACTTTATAATGAATTAGGTGAATAAAAAACATCATTTGATTTATAGTTATAACGGAAAATCATCGTTTGTAAAATGGAAGGCAGTCCATGTGAAATGATCTTTGGTTAATTATGAAACCAGCCTATTTCATAATTTGGTTTTCTTTTAACAATAATTTTAGATTTTCTATAAATTGATATTCCAGGGCCCAAAATATGTAAAGTACACTTGCAGTATGGAAACAGTACAACAAAATGGTCGTTTTACACTTTTTTCTAGTAAATTCCCCTCTAATATATCTTCTATTCTCTATGAGTTCATTACACAAGGTGTTGGTTCTGACTCTATATGAATTCTAGGTGGTAGGTATTGTCTGGAGTACTAAGGTCGACTATGGGACCTGGTTTGGAGCTAATGTAGAGTTTATCCACTGTATCCAGATGCTTCCTTTTACACCCATCTCAGAGGAGGTTCTCAGGAAGGAATGGATCAGTAAGTAATTCACTTATTCATCTTCTTAAACTGAACCAAGAGTAATAGCATTATAACAAGCAATAGAATAAAGGAGTAATTAAATAAAGCGGTAATAGAACTAAGGATTAATCGAACTAAGGAGTAATTAAATAAAGCGGTAATAGAACTAAGGAGTAATTAAATAAAGCGGTAATAGAACTAAGGATTAATCGAACTAAGGAGTAATCGAGCTAAGGAGTAATAGAACTAAGGAGCAATAGAACTAAGGAGTAATAGAACTAAGGATTAATCGAACTAAGGAGTAATAGAACTAAGGAGTAATAGAACTAAGGATTAATCGAACTAAGGAGTAATAGAACTATGGAGTAATAGAACTAAGGATTAAAAGAACTATGGATTAATAGAATAAAGGAGTGATATAACTAAGGATTAATAGAATAAAGGAGTGATATAACTAAGGATTAATAGAATAAAGGAGTAATATAACTAAGGATAAATAGAATAAAGGAGTAATATAACTAAGGATTAATAGAATAAAGGAGTGATATAACTAAGGATAAATAGAATAAAGGAGTGATATAACTAAGGATTAATAAAATAAAGGAGTAATATAACTAAGGATTAATAAAATAAAGAAGTAATATAACTAAGGATTAATCGAACTAAGGATTAATAGAATAAAGGAGTAATATTACTAAACAGTAAAAGAACTATGGAGAAATAAAGCCAAGGAAAAATAGCGTTAATTAACCAACCAATCAATCAATCAATTTGTCAATCAATTAATCAATAATATTTGTATCTAGATGAAGACTATAGTGTACTGTCTCCTGCTATATCTAGTTCTAGTTCACTCTAACCAATAAACTAATCAGTAAATTAATCAATCAATGAACAACCCAATCAACTTTATTTATATCTAGATGAAGAGTACAGTGTACTGTCTCCTGCTATATCTAGTTCTGGCGAAGGTTGGAAAGGATTTATCTACATGGCACACGCGGTGATTGATACAGCAGCAGCGTGGGCAGAGGTCAACTCTCTGACTGGGTAGGCCGCCATCTTTTTTCTTTGAACCCAGTGCAGAGCATGCAGTGTGTCCCACGAAACTTGAAAGTAGAAAGACGACTTAAAGGTCGTCATAGATCTTTGACATTATTGCGACATTCTTTCGTCAGCCTACGTTTAGATTCATGATTCTTTAAACATGAATCAATTCTCATGGTCCTGCCATTTCCAAAATGTGGTCTGCCTTTTTGTGTTGTCAATATTACCGAAAATATTAAGAATTTCGTTCAGATTTCAATTTATTAAATAAAATCAAAACTTTCGCAATCTGAACAAAATCTCCATACAGGGTGTCTCATGAAACATGACAGTAGCAAGACGACTTAAAAACGTCTTCGAACTTAGAATTAACTTTTGACCTTCAGTCGTCAATCTACTTTCACATGTACGATTCTTGAAAAATAACCACACGATTCTCCAAGTACTGGCATTTACAAAATGTGATCTGCCTTTTTTGTTCTGTAGGTTGTAATATATCTGAATGATTTGTTTGGAATTGAATTGATTTCTTAAGATTCGAGTCGAATGTTGCAACTTTCTGAATTTGTATGGACGCTTCGGTATTCNGTTTGGCATAGTGTCAAGAAAGCAAATGTTTAGAATAAACAAGAAAATATTTGCTCTTCTACGACTCCTACGACCCAAAAACAAAGCAACTAAAGCAAATGGTACTAACCCTGTATTTTGTTAAAGGTTTGATGATGGAAACTCTAAGACAAATGCTTTACATTGGGTTGCAACTAGAGAAGGTGCCTGGCAGTAGAATTGGTTCATTTTAGCATTTTTAATTAATAAGAAATAAAATCTTAATTCTTTTGTGCAATTTCTTTTTTTACGTAACGTAATGTAACGTAACGTAACGTAACGTAACGTCACGTAACGTAACGTAACTGTAACTGTAATAGCATATAGTAAAAACAATATTCTGGAACCAAAGAATAGGTTTTCTTGTTTTCCAAAGTTAATTAGAAAAAATCATAAAAGATACAAGGTGTCCCTTTCTAAAGGAAAACTATGTAACAACACTTAAATCGTCTCTGATAACTAACCAAAAATATTACATATCTATATATAAATTTGGCTTGTCTGTCTGTATCCAGTAAACGTCAAAACGGCTGAACCAATACGGCCCAAATTTTTTGTGGGACATCATGTGACCACAGGGAAGGTTTATGAATGATAAAAATTTGTAAAAAAATTTGTTTTAAAGGTTTTTAATTTTGTAAAAAATTTAAATTTTTTTCTTTTTGTTTTAAAATGTAAACAAAAAGAACATGTTCATGATTTAAATAGAAGATGGGCGCGAAGCGCCCTAGAAGCCCAGTATATATATACTTTGCTGGTCTGTCCGTTTGTTTGTGTCCAATAAACGTCAGCATGACTGAACCGATCGGGCCCAAATTTTGTGTGGGACCTCAAGTAACCCCAGGGAAGGTTTAGAATGATCAAAATTTCAATAATTTGCTTCCAACAACAATTGATTTCCATTAATAAAAAAAATCCAATTTTTTTTTTATAAAATCCGATAAACTTTTTTGGTATTGTTATGCAATGTTTACAAAGAGTGTTGACAATTGAAATAGAGGATGGACGCTAAAAGCCTAGTGAAATACATTTAAACCTAAACAAGATCCTTATTACCCACGTAATTCATGAAAGTTCATGAAAATCTAAACTTTATTTTGGAATCAAGATTTAAAATACTAAATCTTTTCTATAAAATATGCACATTAAAATTGTATTTCTCATGTTTTCCTTAAATGCACAAGAAAAGTCAAATACACTTGTTTTAAAAAAGACCGTCCGTTCAATTAAAAAAAAGTATAATATATTACTTTAAAATGGTCCAGTGGATGAGATTCCTAATTGTTTCAACAAGGTTTATATCATTTACAATGAGAACAATGAGCATATGATTTCCTGGGATAATATAAATGCCTGCGTTTTGACCGAAATTTATTAGTTCAACATAAACTTAATTTTCATTTATAGTTCTGATATTTTTAGCTTATGGTAGACATAGTTCTTTAGCTTAGGGTAGACATAGTTCTTTAGCGTAGGGCTGGCATAGTTCTTAAGCTTAGGGTTGGCATAGTTCGTAAGCTTAGGGTTGGCATAGTTCTTTAGAATAGGGTAGACACAGTTCTTTAGCTTAGAGTAGACATAGTTCTTTAGCTTAGGGTAGACATAGTTCTTTAGCTTAGGGTAGACATAGTTCTTTAGCTTAGGGTAGACATAGTTCTTTAGCTTAGGGTAGACATAGTTCTTTAGCTTAGGGTAGACATAGTTCTTTAGCTTAGGGTTGGCATAGTTCTTTAGCTTAGGGTTGGCATAGTTCGTAAGCTTAGGGTTGGCATAGTTCTTTAGCTTAGAGTAGACATAGTTCTTTAGCTTAGAGTAGACATAGTTCTTTAGCTTAGGGTAGACATAGTTCTTTAGCTTAGGGTAGACATAGTTCTTTAGCTTAGGGTAGACATAGTTCTTTAGCTTAGGGTAGACATAGTTCTTTAGCTTAGGGTTGGCATAGTTCTTTAGCTTAGAGTAGACATAGTTCTTTAGCTTAGAGTAGACATAGTTCTTTAGCTTAGGGTAGACATAGTTCTTTAGCTTAGGGTAGACATAGTTCTTTAGCTTAGGGTAGACATAGTTCTTTAGCTTAGGGTTGGCATAGTTTTTACAAAAAAAAATTGAGTCTTTGCTCCACACTCTACTTTTCTACTCCAAATATCGTAGACATAAGATATTTCAACTATGACTTAATTAAATTATTAAAAGTTAACACCTGAAGGTTATAATATAGGGATTAGAATTATCGGATTTTGTTCAGGCAAAGAATGAATTCCTTTCGTGATTTTTTTAAGATCAGAGTTATAATATGCAGATTGCAGAATACAAGTAAACATTCTTCGAAGTTTTCCAAAATGCAAAATTGCATGTTTACTAAAAGTTGATCAGAGACAGCATTTAATGCATAGCGGGAAGTAGCTAACCTACATAGACATACTTCTTTTGTAAGCTGACTTAACTTCTCGCAAAGTCGTCCAACTAGGTCAATGTAATTCAGTTAATTCTCATTAAATCTGGTCCCAGGAATGTTAATTAATTAAAGCTGTCTAATATTCTATATCTTTTTCAAACTTCATTCTTTCTTATAATTATTTAGATTTGAATCTTGCCCGAAACACGCTTTTAAAATGATCAATATCGAAAAGGTCTTTGATTTCATAATTAAACAATCATTTAGCAAGTTTCTCTTCTTTCACTTAAAAAATCAAATCTGAGCAAATATTTTTATTTGTTCGCCATATTGTATAGATAAGTTAAACTTTCAAGTTTTCAACTTTAAGTTTAATCCGTTGACCCCAAGCTTCAATTACAGGGCTGGTCAACTGGAGCTGGACACACAAACTAAAAAAATTATCTATAAGTATTCAGGAAACAATAGACTTACAATAATTATGATAAAAATTATCATAATGATAAAAATAATAATCATCAGTAAGATAAGATAAGATAAGATCTGAAAACCCCCCCATCTTGGAGAGCCCAGACCACCATCGGTATATCTGCAGTGGTAAGGTTACTGTTTACCTATGGGTGAGTATATCTACAATGTTAAAAAAACTGTTTACCTATGGGTAAGCAGATCTGCAGTGGTAAGGTTACTGTTTACCTGTGGGTAAGTAGATCTGCAGTGGTAAGGTTACTGTTTACCTATGGGTGAGTATATCTACAATGTTAAAAAAACTGTTTACCTATGGGTAAGTAGATCTGCAGTGGTAAGGTTACTGTTTACCTATGGGTAAGTAGATCTGCAGTGGTAAGGTTACTTTTTACCAATGGGTAAGTATATTTACAATGTTAAGAAAACTATTTACCTATGGGTAAGTATATCTGCAGTGGTAAGGTTACTTTTTACCAATGGGTAAGTATATTTACAATGTTAAGAAAACTATTTACCTATGGGTAAGTATATCTGCAATGTTTAAAAAAACTGTTTACCTATGGGTAAGTATATCTACAATGTTAAGAAAACTGTTTACCTATGGGTAAGTATATCTGCAATGGTAAGATTACTGTTTACCTATGGGTAAGTATATCTACAATGGTAAGATTACTGTTTACCTATGGGTAAGTATATCTGGAATGGTAAGATAACTGTTTACCTATGGTAAGTATATCTACAATGGTAAGATTAATGTTTACCTATGGGTAAGTATATCTACAATGGTAAGATAACTGTTTACCTATGGGTAAGTATATCTACAATGGTAAAATTATTGTTTAGCTATGGGTAAGTATATCTACAATGGTAAAATTAATGTTTACCTATGGGTAAGTATATCTATAATGGTAAGATTAATGTTTACCTATGGGTAAGTATATCTGCAATGGTAAGATTGGCTCCAAGAATAAACTTCTGTTTAGACAGACTGGAGGCTACAACCGTGTTTACGGAATGCTTGCTTCCGTCCCTCAACCTAAAAAAAATACAATTTTAAGAATTATTTTATAACCTTTTTGGTCAAATAAATAAGGAAAAATTAAAACCTAATTTAAACTACTATTGCACCGGGAATTTATCAAGAAATTATTAATTGATTTTATGAAAACTGAAATTATTAGTTGATTTTATGAAAACTGTAAATAAAGAAATTTAAAAGAATTCTTACATCGCTAAGGAATCGATTTTTTGTCAACTCTTGTTTTTTTATCCCTATATCGTTGCAACCCGATGTAGTAGACCTTAGAAATTTCAAACTATAAGTTCAGTTAGATGAGAAGTATATTAGGCCTGAATTTAACCTGTCAAGAATTGAATCAATTTGACAAATCTGTTGAAGTTGAAGGCCTTCGTATAGGTTTGTCACTTGACGTTTGTCTGCTAGACGAACTAGATAACGTACTGCATTCTCTTCTCCCTAAATATTAGAACTTGTTTTTATGTACTGCAAACTAGAAAACCGTACTTCAAACTAGAAAACCATACTGCAAACTAGAAACCGTACTGCAAACTAGATACCGTACTGCATTCTCTTCTCCCTAAATATTAGAACTTGTTTTTATGTACTGCAAACTAGAAAACCGTACTTCAAACTAGAAACCGTACTGCAAACTAGATACCGTACTGCATTCTTTTCTCCCTGAAAATTATAACTTGTTATTATGTACTGCAAACTTGAAAACCGTACTGCAAATGATTAAATGATTAAAACTGGCAATATATTATCGCTAAAAATGTTGTTTATGATGTTTACATAATACATCTCTGATCATGGATTAAATTCTAAACCATTTCATTCCGTTTAACATAGCTTTTTGCCTGAATCACAAGAAAAATATGTTTTTGGGATTTAGAGAAGGCCTGTGTTACCAACAAAAAATAGCTTTACAACAGATTTCAATGAACTTAATTCTCATTATAGTATTAATAGTAAAATAAAAAAAATTTAAATAATAATAATAATAAAAGTGATAATAATAATAATAATAATAACAAGCTGCATGGCCTGGCAAAGCCTGTGAAAAAAAAATTTTGAAAAAAAAATTATAATTAATTAATTTTAGCCTTCAACACCCACAGGCTACCCATGAGTGTACACAAAAAAACAATTTAACACTAACACTAACACTAACACTAACACTAACACTAACACTAACACTAACACTAACACTAACACTAACACTAACACTAACACTAACACTAACAACTAACAACTAACAACTAACAACTAACACTAACACTAACACTAACACTAACAATAACCGTCCATAACCATAGTAAATCCTTCAATGTGGACTTGAGTATTAGCTGAAAAATACACTTATTTGTAAACTCCTTATCCCAAAAATGTTGGTACTTTTAAAAAGTGGAACAATCCTTTATAAAGGACAATCTTAAACTTAATGTCGAACCTGAATCGTACTATTTCCAGTGCTAAGTGTTGTACAAGGAATATCAGCATATATGAGGGTCAACCTAACATCAGCATCACCTCGGCATACATCAGAACATTCTGGTAGAGTCATGCTTCCTAAACAGAGAAACAGGGGTGTATATATTCAGGTTTCGTGATGAGAATGGACACTTTAATTGTAAAGTTTATAGCGTTTTAAAAAGAAATTACATCAGATTTAGGATAATCTAGTTCTATAAAAATATTCTAATGATCATTAATCAAAGATTTGGGGGGCGTCGCAAGCGCGCCCAAGCAGTTGTTTCGTCTCTGATTCGTTTAAAAATGAAAAATAAAATAAAATCCCAACTATGTATGTACATGTTTTTACCTTTATTGTGTACAGAAGAGTGTGTATGTGTTGTTGTGTACACCTTGTACAACTTTCGAAGGATCTGTAGGATCGAAAGTACACTTACAGGCGGTCGGTTTACAGCACATCTGGAGGAAAAATTTCAAAGATTAATACGTTCTTTAAAAATCACTACGACTCCATCTTGAAAAAAAAATTTTCCTCTTGAGTTTTTTTCTGAAGAAAAAGAGTTTAGATTTTTGACTTGAAACCTGATGGTTCATTTTCAACAGTGTGGAGGGAAAGGTGGTTATCAAAAACAAATACCTAATTTGTTTACCTAATAATAATATCCGGGCTGAACCCAGTAGAAAAGGAAGGTTTGAATCCCGGAGTTGATTTGAACCCTTGAGTCAATATAGTATTCTTTATTAGGGTTTTTAACTTTGTTAAAAATATATTTTTTTAATTGCAAGTTAATATTCCAACGAATTTAATATTTCAGTCAAATTGGTCAATCTCAAGAAACATGAAGTACACAGTATGCACTATGCACCTTGAACCTTATACAGTATGCACCTAAGAAAACTTGTATCTTTTAAAAAAAAAAAAGTTTACTGCACTCTCTCCTAGAAATGTAAACTCAGAGGCTTTGACTATGATCCACCCTAAAACTTGAGTGTACTTTTGTTAACTAAAATATGAAGGTGGATTAATTCCGCTATTAAAACAAAATTTTCTTTTCATTACTTTAATAAAATATATTCCTAAAGCTTTAAGTTTGAGTCCAATTTGTTCAAGTCTGTTCTCAATTTTGTCATATCTAATCAAACCAATCATAATAATAAGTAAAGTGGTTGAATTACGTAGACGTGGTTCAATCACTTCTCTTGTACGCCCCAGGGTAAATCAACCTAACCTACGTAGTTCAATTACTTCTTGCTAAGTTTTAAGTTTTGGCCTTGGACAAAATAAAAAGGACTCTCGATGCGCTCCAATGTACAGAAAATGTCGTCTCCTAAGAATTATGGACATCTGTAAATTAAGTCACTAATTTCTACACTTGCCTCAGTGATGTCATTTACGGATTTAACTTTCCTTTGCTTAGGAGACGACATTTTCCGTACATTGGAGCGCACCGAGAGTAAGCAACCTTAATAAATCAAATCAGACAACCTTGGATCCTAAAAATAAAGAGATAGTATTCTGAAGAATATTTGATATGTACATATATAAACGAGATCATGTCAGTCATCTACCCGATAAGGACAATTATTTTGGGCTCCTTGCAGTTTAAAATCAACGAGTTGCCTCTTTAAGAAAGTCACGACTCAAGGCCAAAATTCTTCAGAAATTTCTACAAACTTTTGAAAAAAAATATTTGTTAGCAACTTTTCTGCGACAGGGTTTGCTAATTTTTCAACTAAAACCCTGAAAAGATAATTTAAATAGAAAATGAATAATAGATTAAATAATTATATAAAACTGTAAATAAACAAATATTTAAAATTTGAAAAATTATTAATGAGGTTTATGGAAAGGTTCCTTTTGTTAATCATCTCTAATTGCTTGCCAACTACTCCACTCTTCTAAACAAATATAAAATAGAAATCAAATATAATGATTTTATCAAATATCAAAGAGTTTAAAGGGATTGTAAATTTAAGATTCAAGTGACCATTCTGGCCTCCATTTATAGTGTGAGCATGGTTGATTAACAACGGTACCAATTACAGGCTCGCCAAACACGTTTTGGGGAAAATCCATATATTTTCAGAAAAATAGAGGTGTACAATCTGTAGAATTTGTAGATCGTTGATAAAGTAGTCCGCGTATTTTGCCCAAACAGCAAATGTTGGTTTTGGCTGGAAAAGTGTGGAATTCGAACATTTATCTTTTTCTCTCTTGTATTGAGAACCGCAATAGAAAAAAATCCATCATGAAATATAAAAAGAGAGATAACTCAATCAATTTAGATAAAACGAACGTTTAAAGGGTAAAGGGTGGATTAGGCATGACCCTTTTAATGCAGAGAGTTACCTGAAATTAAGTCTATAGTTCCTTTAATTCAAACTGAAGTGTACCTTATCGACTCTACAGTTCCTTTAATTTAAACTGAAGTATACCTTATCGATTCTACAGATAGGATTTCTTTTCACCATATCCAGGTTCACTTTGTGTCCAACGAGATCCCTAAATAAAATAGAATTATCATAATTATTTTTTGATTTTCAAAAGCAAACCAGGTGCTTCCAAAAATAATTTGTTCAGCGAAGAGAAAAAAAAATCCAGGTCTTGGAAAAAAAGATTTGATCAATTTCCTAAGGAAATAAGTTATAAGACTATAATAAGACTATTTTTTATGTTTGGTACAGTGGTCAGATATTATATTAATAATATGAAGACAACATAATGCTTTGATCCCTGACAAGCATTCTATCAAATTACAAGTTTACAGCACTGCAATTCTGTTAATTACCAACACCTCTCTTTTAACATGTTTATGTGTCTGCTGTTCGGAAGCTTGGTAGAAATAAAAATTGAAATGGAAAATTGTCTTCATTGTATTGATATATACGACAACAATTGCAGTATGGTATATCACCTTATATTATCTATCTTGTATTTGATCATAGTTGGGCGCTCAAGAGATAATCCAAACCCAATAACATTTACTCCTTCAGGCAGTCCCATAGGAGAGAAAATGTTTGACAGAGTATGAGAAAATGTTTGACAGAGTATGAGAAAATGTTTGACAGAGTATGAGAAAATGTTTGCCAGAGTATGAGAAAACGTTTGCCAGGTCAATAGTTCAGAATAATTATTGTTACTTGATGAACATCAACCCCGCTCTCCTAGGGCCCGGGACTTGTCTGTCTCGGGCTGCAAACGGACTTTTGCGCCGAAATGGTTATCGTAAGGGCTAGCTATGCCACATATTCTTTGATTCTCTTCAAGTGCAATCTTTTATCTTTAGGAGACGGTTTAAGTAATTTCTAGTGATCCTCCAGTGATTAAATACTGTTTACAATTCACAACGGTACTCTTAAAGCTTAATCTGATAAAATATTAACATGATTATAGAATTTCATGCATTTTTTTTTGATAAACTGACAATTTTTGTTTATGGGTTCTCTTCAAAAGAGACTTGCGCATTTCTTAGAACAGAAACAACGAAAAAATTAACAGAATCAAACAATTTAAGCTGGAAAAACAGCGTTGTCTTCCATATCACATCAGATTAAGGTTTCAAGTGTACTGTTGTGAATCGGACATGTCAATCAACAAATAGAGGGTCAAATCAAATTACGCCAACAGTCCCTTTAAATCCATTTTTAACAATTTTGTACCTGAATTTCCTATTTCCACCCATTTGCCTAGACCGTCGTGGTATGAGAATATCTCCATACTTGGCTCTGTATATGGATTATACGCTGGTTTAAACCGTAGTTTCTCTACACCAAACAATATATTGATATAATTATTTTGTAGTTTTGAACATTTTGTAACTTAAGACATTTTGTTACTTTGGACATTTTTTAACTTTGGACATTTTTTAACTTTGGACATTTTTTAACTTTGGACATTTTGTATCTTTGGACACTTTGAAAATTTGGACACTTTGTAACTTTGTAAATTTGGACATTTTGTAAATTTGGACATTTTGTAAATTTAGTCTTTTTATTATCTTGGTTTTTTTTTTATTTGGGTGATATGTAACATTTGGTGTTTTGTTTTTGGGCCTCATGTAATTTTGGGTGTTTTTTATTGGACTTTTTGTATCCACTCCGAATAGATAGTGTTATTTATCTTTTTGGATAGCTTTTTGAAAACTTTTAATTCAAGATTTTAAAACTGTCATTGGTTAAAGTTTTCTTCTATCAAACTTTGCCGTTTTTTATCCTGAAAAAATAAACTAAGAAGCGATCCAAAAATGATGTTTATAACACATTAGTTTTTTGTTAGTTTTTTTATTGACATTTTTTGTCTTGGTCATCATTTGGCAAAATGTTAGAAACAGGGCTCTTAAAGAAAAAGAAATTTCTGAAACAAGCTGTTTTAACACTTTGCCAAATTTGGACTCTGAAGAAAATTATGCCAAAAAAACAATCCAAAAAAGAACCAACGGAATGCCTATCACTTTAAACATATCTACTATATACATCTATTTCACGAGGGAGGGGGTATTGAAGACGTTAAAAAGATTAGAAGAAAGGATGATCAATGGCCAAGATATGGGTCCATGTTTTAATAAAAGGGACGAATCTAGGATCTAGATCGGATCCGGATTACAGTAGAAAAATCTGAAGGGTACCGTTGTGAATCGGAAAACTACGATTAAAAAATCGATATATTCTGTTAATATTGTTTCCTATGCCAAGCTTAGTGAAGAATGTATTGATAACCCCAATACAATGTCCAAGGGTGAGCCCATAGTCTGCCACAACTCCTTCGATCTGATGGAACTCCGCTAGGTGGGTCGCGTCCAGGGTCTCGTTTCGGAACACGCGATCTGTTCACAACATCATCAAATAATAAATAAATACAGTGATAACCAGAAAACAATGGAATAGGAAGATGACAGTATAGCAATACTTATCTTGTATTTGATCATAGTTGGGCGCTCAAGAGATAATCCAAACCCAATAACATTTACTCCTTCAGGCAGTCCCATAGGTAGTAACATCTCAGGCCGAAACATACCTAGTGTTGTTAATTGTTATTGTTTTTTTTAAAGATTTTTATTATTTTATTATTTTAACAGTACAAGTATAAAGCCAGGTGGAAAATAGCTCTTGGCTGTTTTGATATCTTTTGCAGATATGTAATATGTTTGCCAGAGTATGAGAAATTGTTTGACAGGTCAAAAATAGTTCAGAATAATTATTGTTACTTGATGAACATCAACCCCGCTCTCCTAGGGCCCGGGACTTGTCTGTCTCGGGCTGCAAACGGACTTTTGCGCCGAAATGGTTATCGTAAGGGCTAGCTATGCNCGCGACACGATAAAGCATCCTAGCGCTCACTGCCGTTGTATGAGTTCTTAAATACATTAGAAAATTATTTTAAATTGACAAGTCGAACACTGATCTTGCAAGATGGTAAAGTATTTTAGTTTCTTTTTTTTTTCTTTCTTTTTTTTGATCAGGAGTTTTCATGTCTAAATCTTTGACATTCAGAACGTCGTGCGAGATGTTTTTTTTTAACAATTTATCTGTTAAAAAGTTTTTTTCATAAAATATAAATACAAAAATGTACAAAATTATTTTAAAAATATTAAAGCATTCCAATATTTCCTATCTGTAAAAAAATACTCTGGGCCCCGGCACCCTCCATGCCTGGGAGGAAGGGGGGGGGGAGGGGGATTCCAGGACCACGAAAAATGTATTAACAAAATTATTTTGACGCCAAACCAAAGAAGTTATACAATCAAATTAAAAATATTAAAAAAAGAGAATTCTTTGAATTAAAAATTGTAGTGCGGTATGTAATTTTCTTAATAATCCTATGTGGGATGTAAAGTGATATAACGTCCCACAATCGTAGTAAAATGACCGCTAGGGGATAATATTTACCAAAATGTGGTAAAATAAGCTTACCTTAGTAGGTTTTTACTGGCTTCCTTTATATTCCAATCATATCCGTAGCCCTAGATATTCTTTAGTAAGAAAAAGGCCGCAGGGTTGATTTTTATTCAAAAGGCAACTTTTTTTTATCCTTTTTGACTTTTTCTAAAAAAAAAAGTTATTTCCCTTTAAAAAATCAATTAATTAAACAAACTCGGCGAAAACTTTCGCGCAAAAAGGGATGAGGGGTAAATGATTTTAAAGAAAATATACACCTCTGGAAAAAGGATTTAAAAAAATTAAGTTATTCAATTCAAATTTAATTTTTCGTCTTCATTTGTTGGGACAGAAATTGATTTTTTTCTCTGAAAATATCTACATCATCCTCTGCCCCATCCCCACCCTGGCAATTACAATCAATTCCTAAAAATATTTCCCCCTGACCTGTAAAAATAGAATTCAATAAATACCTGAGATCCGAATCCTCCTGTGCTATGAACCCTTTTCACCCTCTCCATATAATCCTTAGGGAACCTACAACAAAATAAAGATTTGAGTCGAATATTTCTGAATGAGGTTAAAATATTTATTTTGTAAAAACAAAAAATGATATTCCAGGGGGTGTAAACTATATATTTTCTTCCACTCTTAAGTTCTTTTCTTACGAATTGATTTTAGGCATTTTTTCGTTAAATTCGAGAAAGAAATGATTTTTTGGTGCTCTACATTTTTCCATGAGGGATGTCCCCCCAATTTTCCATGGGGGAACATCCCCCTTCCCCCCCCCTTTGTCTGCGATATTCTATGACCTGTCTGAAGTTGCCGGATCTGATATAAAGAATGTATCATGAGCATCTCTGGCCGGATGCTGCTGCGGCTGGAAAAGAGCATCAAAGTTCCAGAAGCTACTCTCCACAAAGTTGTTCGCCGGCATCTCCGAGAACCCCATCTCCAGGAAGATCTGCCTGTACTCAGCTCTAACCTTGAGTAGCGGATGGAGGCAACCTGCTCCAGTATCCTGTCCCAATGAGTCAAGGTTGTACGGCTTCAGAGCCGTAGTCTTCCAGGACCCGGAGCTGATCATTTCAGGGGTTAACTCCGTCGCAGCCTTCTCTATCTTGGTGGAGAAGTTTGAACCCTTTCTGAGAAAAAATATATTCATTAGACCTTTAAAAAAATTGATTGTTTTGAATTCCCAATCCAACATTGTTTAGGCTTTTTTTGAAGGTCCAATAAATAGGCCTTGTTCCTGAGAATGTAATGCTTCTCGGTGACTTCCTCGACCAGTTTCCTCTTCCTGTACTCCAGCTTGAGCTTGTTTTCTACCTTGTCCCCCTCCCCGTCCTTGATCTTAACCAGGTGGGACTGCAGGTGGTCAGTTAAAGAATCAATCTTTCTCTTCACAACAGGGGCACCCTAGATACACAAGCTTATATTTCAGGGGGCACCCTAGATGCTTTTATTTTAGGGGGCACGTTAGATGCACAGATACATAAACATGCATAACAGGAGGCACCCTAGATACAAAAGCTTATATCACAGGGGGCTTCCTAGATACATAAACATATATTCCAGGGGGCACCCTAGATGCACAAGCTCTTATTACAGGGGACATCCTAGGTACACAAGCTTTTTATCACAGGGGGCACCCTAGATACACAAGATTTTATTACAGGGGGCACCCTAGATACACAAGATTATATTACAGGGGCACCCTAGATACACAAGATTATATTACAGGGGCACCATAGATGCACAGGCTTATATTACAGGGGCACCCTAGATACACAAGATTATATTACAGGGGCACCCTAGATACACAAGCTTATATTACAGGGGCACCCTAGATACACAAGCTTAAATTACAGGGGCACCCTAGATACACAAGCTTGTATTACAGGGGAACCCTAGATACACAAGCTTATATTACAAGGGGCACCCTAGATACACAAGATTATAGTACAGGGGCACCCTAGATACTCGTACACAAGCTTTTATTACTATGCAGCTGTATATAAACTTGTATGCATTTTCTTATATAAGTCTATGCATCTCTGCTTTGCATGCATCCTATGCACTATGCAGCCCTATATAAACTATGCTATGCAATATGCATTCATTCAATGCAGCCCTATATAAACTTTTATACATTTTCTTATATGAGTCATGCATCTATGCTATGCATGCAGCAGAAATATATAAAAGATAAAGTATATAATCGACATTTGCCTGAGATTTATCGATGAGAATCCAACCGTTAGACATTGCTTTGCTGAACCCAATTTTCCCCCAGGTTCCACAACTGGCCATTAGTTTCCCCTGCTCTATTCCCCCATCTTGGGGAACCAAGCTGTACACTCTGGATTCATAACTTCCCTCAGCAACTACATCCTTGCCCTCATCAGTCAACTCCCACCTTGTAACCTAGAAATCAATTCAGTTTGAAGATCAGTTCATTCTGATTTACAATGATGACGATTTTGTCGTTTTTAGTCTTAATAAATTCGCTCCTAGCTGCCTTTATCCAGCTTCATAAATTCCCAGTCACTTTTGAATGGAACCGCAATTGAAATTTATAAATTTTCAGAAAGAAAAACAGGGATAACTCCAGCATTTTTACTCGGCTAAAGGTTTAACTTTAACAGCTCTAAATTGAAAATGCCAAGAATTAAATAGAAGGTTACTTTATTACATTTACAGTCCCTTTAAAATATATATTTTCTTAAAGAGAAACTTTAATAAATGAATGATAAAGTGTAAACCCATGGAGACTTAATATCAAATAATCATAATGTTTATGATCAATAGTTGTTATTGCATTTTTGAACAAAATACAGATTTGAATCTGTCGGTCTGTTTGTTTGTCTGTTGTTATCCAATCAAAGGCCAAACCGGCCAAACCGCTCCAGTCCAAATTTAATTTTCATCAAATTTTGAAAATCCACAATTTTTTTAATAAAATCCACAAACTTTTTGCTTGTTATTGTTTTACAATGTATACAATAAGTAAATGTAATAGAATTAGTATTAAAAAGTATAAACCTGGTACATCTCCGTTGATACAACATCTCCTTCAACCACATATTTCATCTAAAACAAATGTTTATACAGGGGTCTGGGGTATTTCATTTTAATTATTTTTGACGAATTAGGGAAAAAAATTAAAAATTTGACGCCAAAAGGCAAGTTTGTTTATCTTATTTAATACTTTAAACCCGAAAATTTCTCTGTTTTCCTTGAGAATCATTTGTTCCCCTAATCAGCGAAGAAATCCCTAAACTGAATTGTTTTTTTTTTTAAGAAAATAAACACGCCT